AAACGTTTTCTAGCATCATTTCTGTTCTCATGCCCTGTCTCTTCCTGAGCTGTCCACCGTGGAGAGATCCTTGATATGAATTCTGCAGTAACTTAGTGACTTTTTTTTTTTTTTAGCTCTTATGAAATTTCATCTCCTTTAGAGAATTTATCTTTCTTTAAGGATTTGTCTTCTTTTTATTGTATGTTCTAATGGCATTACTCCTCTCTGATTGTAAACAAGTCAGTTTTTTGTTCTGACAGAAACACTTTTAGTAACAGAGAACCTCCCATTCCTTCCCAGCCTTCTTTCTCATTAAGATACAATGTTGGAATTTTAAAAGTATTTTAAACAGGAAAGAAAAGGTGCTGTTTTGCCCTTCAGTATTGTCATTGAAATTAAGCTGCAGGAGTTTCTTAACTAATACTTTATTTTATATAATTCAACCAACCCCAGAGTGATTCGTCCCCTTATTACCTGCTTCCCATAACTCCTCCTTCAATGTGTTTATTTATTTTCCTTCAATGTGTTTATTTATTTAAAAAAAAATTTTGTAATTGTAGATGGACAACATGCCTTTATTTTGTTTATTTTTATGTGGAGCTGAGAATTGAACCCAGTGCCTCCCACAAGATAGGCAAGTGTTCTACCACTGAACTACAGTCCCAGCCCCTTCAATGTATTTATTCTTGTTTCATTATTTAATTTCTCTTCATATGGACAGGGATCTCATTTTTGTAAGTATCTCCTGGGTTCTTATCCCAGTTTTGGGATTGAGAAATTAAGGAAAGAATGGCTGCTGGATCAAGTTGCATTGAACGAGGGAGAATTCAATTGTTTTATGAAGAACTGCATAGGATTCCAGGTTGGCTTTGTCAACCCTTTTAATATCTGTGTTTTCAGCTCTCCCTTGATGGTTATCTCTTCCTTGCATGTCACCCAAACTGCCCTTCACTCCTTGGCTCAAGATAACTTGATTCTTTTACAACTGAATATGAAAAGTGGTAGAAATTGAGTTGAAAGTGGGAGCAGTTAAGAAAGACATCGGCCGGCGAGGGTTGTGGCTCAGCAGTAGAATGCTCGCCTAGCACATGCAGGGCCCTGGGTTTGATCCTCAGCACCACATAAAAATAAATGAATGGAATAAAGATATTGTGTCCAACTACAACTAAAAAACAAATATTAAAAAAAAAAAGACGATGGCAAGTCCCTATGTCATGAAAGACCACAGCTCCGGGAGATCATGCTTGCTGCTTGTTAGCTGCTCTCCTGCAGGGGCGAGGTCCGTAGGTGGATGAGAGAGAAGCATTGTGCTGGTAACAACATGCCTCTGTTTCCTTTCCTCTGTGACCTGCAGAATTGGAACCTGTTGCCAAGGCACACATTGGTAGGGAGGAGAAGGAAGAAAAGCAAGAACTTCCTCTCTGGGTAGACTACAGCCACAGGTCTTTGAAGATGCAGCAGTAGCCAGGCCAGAGAGGGAAAAAGCTTCCTCTGCTGTTAGTTGAGGGTGCACATGTTCCATTGCCTCTCAGCAGAGTGGGTATCTATGACGCACTTGTGGTTCTGTGATTGCTGGGGTGGGGTGTGCCTTTTGCCATCTGAAGAACATGCCAATTTTGCAAGGTGTAGCCTGGGATTGTGGGCATCTTCAGTGTTTGAGTAAAATATTGGAGAGCACCATGATCCTTGCAGGCAGGGATGTAGGTGAGACATGTTGGCTGCCCACATTGGAAGGCCTGCAAGTGGCTTGTAAAACAAGCTGGTGAGGATCCATACACCATATTACATAAGGCCTGGAGAAGGGAGGAAGTGGCTTTCCATTTAATTTTCCATTTTAAGTAGTTTCAGACTTGCCAACCAATAGAGCAGGGGTTGGAATGGCAAGGGCTTTGGGGTAGGCTGGTTACAATGTGCACATAGCTGGCTCAGCATTACACACTTGGGGTAGCACGGGGCTCAAAGCAGTGTTGCATGCACATTTATTAGCACAGTTTATTCAGGGCATTTAGGGAAGATTTCAAACAGTGCTAAGCCATCCTTAAACATTCCCCGGCCTCCTCTTACTAGTCAAGCCGATTTCTGGCATGCTGATTATATTTAACCCAATAGTTTTACCCAGCAGATGCAGAGTACGGAAGCATGTGTTCCCACATGCCTGGGCAACCTCCTCAGGGCTGCCAAAGGTACCGTGTCTATGTTGCTTCAGCTGCTTAGAAGTGCAGGCCAGTGACCGTTAGAAGAAATTACTGGGCCTCTTCCAGTCTTTGTGGAGGCCAGGGTTTAATTATCTTCCCTGCTCCCTTTTCAACTTTATTATGTTATCCAGAGGGGAGTCCCACTTTATCCTATTTCAAGAGGTTCAAGTACTTCCAACATAAATGTCTTTGGAAGTATAATAATTCTGTCATGTAGAAATACTGTCTAAGCTGGATGAGATTAACTGAATTCCCTATGAATATTTTTTTTTAATTTTGTTTAAAGTTCCTTAACATTGGCATTACCTAGAAGTCAGTGTCTGATTTTCAAATTTGCAATGGGAGAAATCTTCCAAATGTGAAATGCAGCTGTACCCAATCACCATAAAATAGCTTTCAATTACTTGCTTTGAAAAAAAAAAAAAAAAAAAACTTTAAAAGAAGTATGCTTTTAAAGGTGTTTCCTCTGTGCCTGAGAAAACTTTTTTTCCTTAATGACATTCCTTTGACTGTAACTTGCTTCTGTTACAAATGGCAATCGTAAGCTGTATTAATCCCAGCTTAAAAAAATAAAGTATGTGTATTCATTGGAATGCGTACGAAAACCACTTAGGTTTTTAAAAAACAGCATTGCTGAAAACAATGGGTTTTAAAGTACTTTTTTGAGTTAAATGTCTATTTTTTATGTCCATATTATGATAAATGTTTTATATGTGATGTATTTATTTCAAGAAAACAGACTATTATTTCTCCATGTAGGAAGAAAGAGGATAGAGCCTGGATGAGAAGAAAATAACCAAAGTCAGCTTTCCTGTCAAGATTTAAAAAAAAAAAAAATCCTGTCCATTAATAATAGATGTGCTGAGAAGGACTTAGAGGTAGCAATTAGAAAATTTCTGGCTGAGGGTGGAGCCTGTTAAAAGCCAGTCCTCCCTTATGTTCCCTTTTTCTATTTTGACCTGTTGAAATTTACCATTGCTGAAGTATTTCTGCTGTGTCCTGCATCTGCTTCCTCTCAAGATGTGCTATAAAACTGCTTTGTGAAGGCAGGGTAACTCCATGTCTCCCCTACTCGTGTGTCTCCCCACAGTGCAGGTGCGTGGCCCACCTGCCTGGCTCCCAACACCTGAGCTCGAATGCGTGAGTGGTTTTCAGAATGGCGCAGTGCTGGGTTTCTGCTCTTCCACTGCCTGCCTGCCTTCCCTTCCCCATCCGTTCCTCAGGTGCTTGTCTGTCTCCTCTTGTTCAGTTTGAAGCAAGGAGGCAAGTGTAAACTTAGGGGAATATCTTTGTAGAACTGATTGTCCTATAAGACTGGTTTGCAGAAAAATATTGGACACTTGGCTAGTACCCTACTGGTGCTAGCTGGAATGTGATCATATTTGTTTTTCTTCCCAGTTGCTTAGGATATTTAAAAAAAAAAAAAAGGATTGCAAGCTGATTTTTATCTTCCCTCAGCTTTCTCCTGCCGCCTCCCAGGCTTGTAAAATGAAAATGACTCCAGAAGTAGCTTTAGATCACCTATTTCCTGGACTTTTTGTCCCCATGGAGATGATCAGATGCAGAAACACTCAGAGATGAATTAATTGCACTTTCTTTTCATTTTTAACATCAGAAATCCTGCCCTTTTGATTTTATGCTAATGCTGCTCTGTTGTCACCTGTATTGCCCTGCTTACTACAAAATCGAAATGCTTTGAAATTGATTTGGTAATAACTATTTAGAGTGTTTCAAATCTGGGTTAATATTCATTTTACTACATTGCCTGCAATTTTGAAAAATCATCCTTAATTATAGAAGTCTTTTTTTTTAATCTCTTGGGTGAAGAAAGAAAATTTTTTCTTTACATCTATAATTTGGTAATACACTCAATGTGACAAAGACATTCTTGGTGATGATTTCAATCAGCAAAGCACATGCTGTACTTTTATTCACACTGTGGTTGAATTCTTCAGGCTGTTCTATTGGTGCAGCAAACATTTATGGGTACCTAGTATGTTCCAGGAAGAGCAAGTTTGTTCAGTACTGGGGCAATAAAAATAAGGCATAGTATCTATTTTCAAAACTTGTCCACCTGTGGGACTACAAAATGATCTTGTGTCCTGTCAGTTGCTGAGAAGAGTTTAAAACATGGCATTGATTGACACCTTTGATGGAAAATAACATGCTATAGGTGCATAATAATAACCAACCACTAAATGCTTTTTCCAAAGTGTTTGGAACTTGGGGAGTCATTAGACTGTGTCAGAAGCTCCAGTGTGGGTGCATTTGGTATACAGCTATGCAAAGCTTTACCCATGCAGCATACTCTTAACAGGAAAACAGCATGTTGTTTAAATCCTTAGACTCTTTCTGGAGACTCTTCTATACTGAGTCAAACCAAGTTGGAGCAGCGTTCTTGTTGAGTAGAGGCAGGTCTAGTCCTCCTCCTCCCACGCTGCCCTGCCCCCAGCTTTTCCTTCAGGTGTTTCAAAGGGCCTGATGAATACAGCTGGGAACCATGGCTGGATCCCTGGCCTTGTGGCATGTCCTGGCAGAGCACACCTTGCGCAACATGGGCGAGCACTGAACTGGAGATTTGGTACAGAGATTTGGCTGTCACAGTCCTACACACAGGGATCCCAGTACAACTCTAGAAGGGACAGGACTGGCCGGAAGTGCCAAGCTGTCGTCCTGGGGCCGTTGCAGAAGGAGAAGCCAGTCAGCCCCAGGAGCTGAAGGTTTCCAGGGCACCCCACCCAGGATATTCCCTCTGCATTCCAGGCCAGGTAGCTTGTGTGTGTGTGTGTCTCCCCCGGGCTCCTCTTCTTGTCAGGCTGAGGGAGATTAAGAGCTGTGACTGCAGGTGAGCCAGGAACCCTGTGTGGCATGTTTGTAGGTGGGGACAGGCCTGGGCTACGGATGGGAAAAAAGCATAGTCCCACATTCTTGACCAGAAAGGCTAAGGCAGGCTGGTTTCACCCTTGTGGCCTGGCAGCCTGGATAACTATTGGGTGTGAGGGGTGGGTTCAAAGGAGAGGAGCAAGAGCTTCTGTTAGGTTGAGGGACTGGAGACTTGTCCCAGGGCTCCGTCTCTGAGCTTTCCTTTGTGCAGTGAAATGTAACCTTCTAAAGTTGTCAGTGATTGTTAACCTGTCAGGTCAAAAAAAGGTAGTCTCCACAGTAGTTGAATTTTCCTTTTTTATTCATTTCTTCTCTTTTTCCACTTTTATAAGCAACCATTATGTTCCTTTCTTGTTTGATCTTTAATTCATTTGTCCATTGTTTTAACTTTTAAATTCTTCCTGTCAACCATTAAAATGAACGTGGAGGTTAAAAAATGTTTTAAGTGCTATTTTTTATTTCTTCAGCTTTATAGGGAGGAAAATACTCTTATACTCATGATATAAGAGGCATTTAACAGATTCCTGTATCCAATTTTCTTCATACCCAGGGAATACCCTCATTTTGAATATGCAGAATGCAAACCATCTATGGAGTGGTCAAAGAAAATTAATTAATTTTTAAAGAAAATTATTTTTTCCTCTCATCCTTTAAAAATGTATATTTTTGTGTATGGTTTGTGTTGCTGTAATGGTAGTACATGTACATAATTTACAAATGTACCTGGGAGTGCATGCCCCAAATTTCTTATAAATAGTGTGGCATGATCAGCACAGTGTGGAGCACCATTCTGGGGCACACCAAGACCTCAAGTGTTGAGGGCTCTCCTGTCCGTGGTCTGTCACAGGAGTCAGCAAGTTGAGAATGACAGGGGCTTGGAACAGCCTGGAACACAGTAAGCACTGTTATCCTATGTACCTTAGGCACTGTTGTTATTTCCTAAAGACACTTATTTGTGCTTAATTTCTCCCCAGTGGATTAGAAATGCTCACGTATAGACATGTAGTAAATCAAGATTTTTCTTTCCAGTGAAAGTATGAATTAGAAAACAGAAGTCAGAGCTAAAGAAAAGATGAAGTAAGGGCTCAGGTTCATATGAGTTTATTCATTTTTCCTTTATGAAAGTTTTGTTAGTTTTATTTTTGAGTTTCCTGACAGCCAGTGGAAAGAGAGAAACATCATCAATCATGTAAGGTGATGTCTGTAAAGACAAAACTATACTCTCCTGCTTGTTGAACCTGGAGACTGACACTGCCTTGTGGGTCATCAGATTTGAGTCTGAGTCTCCTGCACTTGCACCTCTTGATTTCCCCATAGCTCCAAAAGAATTCTGTGAGTAGCACATATTTAATCTCACTGACCCTTAGTTCCTGAATGATTCTGGATGCACACTGTAATCAGTTTCTTTTCTTTCTTTCTTTTGTACCCCCTCCCGGGATTGAACCCAGGAGTACTAACCACTGAGCAACATCTCTTTTTTATGTTTTATTTTCAGATAGTCTTGCTAAGTTGCTTAGGGTCTTGCTAAGTTGCTGAGGCTGGCCTTGAACTCACAATCCTCCTGCCTCAGCCTCCTGAGCCATTGGGATTACAGGTGTGCACCACTGTACCCGGCTTATTTGCTTCTTTCTTTTTACTTCTTTAAAAAATTACTTATTTATTCTAATTTGTTATACGTGACAGTAGAATGCATTTCAATTCATGGTTCTCATATAGAGCACATTTTTCATGCTTCTAGTTGTACACAGAGTCACATCATTCGTGTCTTCATACATATACTTAGGGTAATAATGATGTCCCTCTCATTCCACCATCTTTCTTACCCCCATGCTCCCTCCTTCTCCCTCCCTCCCCTTTGCCCTATCTAAAGTTCCTCTGTTATTTTCTTCTTTTAAATTTATAATTTGATTTAGATTCCACCAAACTGCTTCCTTGTCCCTGAACCTACATTGGATTTTTTTTCTTTATTTGATTTTAAGTTTATAGTCAGTATAGAAAAAACCTTCAAAAGGTGAAGAGGAGGTGAAGCAAAGCTGAGAAGGAGAAGGAAAAAGTTTAATTGCAGAGCCTAACAATGCATTATGACTGAGTGTGACTGTTCTTAACAAGGCAGGCTTCACGAGCTGCAGGCTGTTTTTTAGTCACAGACACTTAAGGGACTCCTTTTATGTGTTGTGCATATGCAAGCAAAGAGGGCTTCAAATGTGCAGTGGGGAGTACTGGTGCTGGCTGTGCCTCCAACCACATGCAATCAATTTCTCCTGAGTCTGTCTCCCTAGCTGTAAAGTAGGGTGGATGGTTCCCAGCCTGACCACCTCTTTTCACTGGTGGTGGTGATCATGTGTGTGCCCTAATGACTTAAGAAAGTGCTTTGGAAATCTTTCATCTCTGTGCACTAACAGTCTGGTTAAATGTACTGTTACTGCAGAAGAAGATAAGACATGGTCCCTGGGGCTAAAGGAATTTTCCAGCTGCATAAAGAGTGAGAAGTAGCAAGTGTGAATCAACAAGCAGTAAGAAGTGGGGCTTAGCATTGCACGGTGAGGCACAGCCTAGTCTGATGGAAAGGCTGGCAAGTCCCTCGTGTTACGGAATCCTACATGTTGGAAGAGTGGCTGAGACCAGTTTGGGGAATAATGATGAGCCCTAATCAGCAAAAAATGGCACCTCTATCAGTTGAAGGAATAAAATGTTAGAATTTTTGAGTCATTAGGAAACATTATCCAGTCTGTGAAAGATGTCAAATAGCACTTATTTTTTAGAGATTTTTTTTTTTAAGTCTTCATTGTTAAGATATGGCCCTGGTGAAGTGGGGAGAGAGAGAGAAAATATACATTTTCAAAAGTGATTATTTAAATCAATTAGGTTTGAATTTTGGTTAGTCTAGATGAAAAATGGTTATTTTTGAGTAGCCTGTTGTTCACTGTGAAAATCGGCTTTCCTGTCTTGGAGCCTGGGGAGCTGCCCTATTCAGTGTGCTTCTTAGGTTTTTCATGGAAACGAAACCCATAGGCCTTTATCTAGTTAGTGCTGAGCTGAGCTGAAAGTCTGTTGTCTGAGCTTTAGGCTGTGTGGGCTAGATCTGGTATTCAGATCCCAGGGAGGGGTACTTGTGGGGTCAGGTGATCTCACTGGGGCATCTTTGTGGGCTTCAGAGCCTCACTGCCTCAGCGCCCTGGTCCTGGTGAGTATGAACCCTAGACCACCTCTCTAATGTGATTTCCTATGGGCAGTGGAGGGCTGCCTCTTCCTCACGATAGTCTTCTGCTCCTGACCTGGTTATGTCTTCCTTTTGAAATGGCTACCCCATCTGGGAATTCTCTTCTCAGCCAGGGTTCCTGCAGCCTGGGGCCTTCTTCACCTGTCTACTTTCTCTCACTGCCGGGATCCACGTGTTTCTACCTGTCAGATCCTGGGCACCATGTAGAGCCCTTGCTCCATGGTGAGAATTAGATAGTCAGCCTGCCTTGTAACCCCACGAACCCTGGCCAGGCTTCCCCAGTTGTCCCTAACAGCTTCCTGGGGCCCTGCAGCTGCAGCCCTGCTGTTCGTATTATTACTTGTAATAGGAAGTGGAGGGGTCCAAATTCCAGTTGCCACTTCTTGAGGTCCTGATTAGGATTCAGATTCTTGGGGCTTTGGTTCCAAAAGCAAATGAGGAAAAGCATCACTTAGACATTCTGTTTTTCACCTTACAATTTAGGAGCCTCCAAATGTGACAGCCATGACCATAAAACCAAGCAAATCACCACGAGTCTGGAACTTTCCTCTCTCATGTAGATATTGGGATAGCCTGGAAACCTAACTTATTACAGCATGTCTCAGAAAAGCATTCAGAGTTCCAAACATTGGACTTAACAACAATCTGTATTAATAAGGACTACCTATATTTATGCTTTCAACTTATTAACAGTTACCATTAATAATGAATTGCCATAAATAAACAATAAACTCATTAATAAAGCATTCCTGTAAAGCATTAGCACAGTCTCTGGCATATAGTAAACCTTCAGTAAATGTTGGCTGTTGCTGTTAGCACCACCACCATCACCTCTGGCATTTTTATGATGGAAAGAATCATATTCGCTACACTTAAGTTCATTTAAATGGTCCATTTAAAAACACAATGGCTGCAATTGATTCCAAAGAGATGGAGGTGGCTCATTAATGCTAGAACACTTGGAAATGCTTGAATAACAGTGACGGGCACCCTTGCTGTAAGATAGACCCCATCCCAAATCAGCTTAGCTTTGAACCAGTAGCAGTGAGGTTAGTGAGGCGTAGTGTGTCTGACCACAAGTGGAGTGGAAGTGTGTTCATTTGCTCTTTCACTCAGTAAGCAAACATTTGTTGAGTTGCTTGCTGTATTCCAGAGCTATACTGTCCAGAAAAGGAAAAGATCCAGTTGCCACAGACACTCTATGGAGGCTTCTACGTCATGTAGGTGGGGTTTTCACATGGTTAGATGACCAGAGGGAAATGGGTCCAGGCTGCAGTAGCAAGGACAGTCCTAGAATTGCAACAGGATGTCCTGTGGTCACGGCGAGGAAGTTGTGTTGTCTTTACTTCTGAACCTTAAAGAGCATTGTAAAAATAAAGCCAAACCCCTTTAGTCCCTTTGATCCTCAATAACTGGCTCTCCGAACCAATGCACCCGTCTGCTGATACAGCGGCTCATCGTGGTGTGTGGAAGACGCCGCGCCCTCCAGGCTGCCGGGTTCTGAGTGCACTTTGGCACTCATACCCCCGTTCGCCAGGCTCAGAGTCAGAGGCCAGGGCTGCGAAGATCCAAATAGAGAATGAGGAGACATGGCCCCTGTCCTCCAGGACACAAGCCAGCGTTAGGTCAACAGTGGGGCAGGGTGAATGGCCCAGGTGACCTGTGGTTCAAGGGGATCCCGTACAGCTCTGCATCTGTAAATTAGGAGTGGCTGTTTGTAGAAGCTGTATAGGGTGAGTATCACTTCTTTCTTTTATCATATCCCTCTGCTCTTTTGCCAAGATGTTTACAACTCCCCCCCACACTCCCCAATGTGGGTTTTCTTAGAGGCTCAGTTGTGATTCTGCATTCACGGCACACATTCCTCTGCCAGCACTTCTGCACTGGTCATGGAGATTTTTCCATTCTGTGCCACTAAAGGAGCAAGTCAAGTCGGCCTCCCTGGATCATGTTGAACAGATGTTATAAATGTTCATTTCAAGGATGAAATCGTCTGCTTGACTTCGTAATTTTTTGTTTCTGTGGATTTTCTCTGGTGCCTTTTCGGCCCTCACTGTTGTATGGCGTGCCACCCCCCCAATCCTTCCCAGGAAATGCTCATTTGAGTATAGGATACTTGGAGATTCAAAGGAATTTAATGAGATACAAGCAATTCATCTTGGTTACAGAGGGGGGATATATTATCTCCAAATTACATAGATTTACTTTAAAGTTGCAGACACTTTTAGACAGCTTTTTCATTATCTTCCTATCAGAGTTTTTTTTTTTTCCTTTCCTGTCGAGTGATGTAGCAGTTTATTTCCCCTGATAAACAACATTCTTTTAATTTACCAAAATACATTGTATGAGATATACTTTGATAAAAATCTGTGTGGACCGGAAAACTTTCCATTGATCCTGGGGAGGGCAGTGTGTGTGTTTTAACTCTCAACAGCCCCAGTTGTGCCTGGCCTCCTTCAAAGTATTTTGATCTCTCATTTCAGCCACAATTACAAGTTCATCCGAAAATGATGACCGGAGTGGCTCCAGTTTGGAATGGAATAAGGATGGAAGCCTAAGGTTAGGGGTTCAGAAGGGAGTGCTTCATGATCGCAGGGCAGATAACTGCTCCCCAGTGGCAGAAGAGGAGACCACTGGGTCAGCGGAGAGCGTGCTGCCCAAAGCGGAATCCTCAGCTGGAGATGGTCCGGTCCCTTATTCTCAGAGCTCCAGCTCGCTAATAATGCCACGGCCCAACTCAGTTGCAGGTAAGGCCACGCCTCTCCCTGGAAGGGTTCTGCTGAGCCGAGGAGCCCTGTGCTCACAGTCCTCGTAGGGGAGCCTAACCCAGATCGTGGGTCAGGCACTAGCTTCTCTAGGCCTCAGTTTACATATCCGCAAACATGATAAGGCTGTACGTAATGGTCTTCCAGTGGCCCTCTCACTGTGGAATTCTTTTCGTCTTCAACTTGGACTGTCTGACTCTTTGTATGTTACAGAAGAAAGTATACCTACTCTCCCTTGGTATTTTGTTATTTTAAGCTTGGGTAAGCTCATGAGTCTGTTGTATCTTGGTAAATAGGAATCATTTAGAGTGTAGTTGTTAATGTCAGCTCAAAGGATTTCTAATCCAACTTTTAAAAGTCAAGCCTGTTGTATAGATAAGAGGTTGAATGTGTCTGTGTATTTCAGTTGTAACAGAGCTCATAGCTTAAGACACCCTCAGTGGGAGCCAGAGCAAGGTGGAACAGCTGGGAGTCAGAGAGGAGAGAACAAATGGCAGTGCCAGTGCACAGTTGGATTGGCATTCCCTGGTCATCAGGCAAAGAGGAGAGTAGTCTGGGGCAGGTGGGGAGAGGCACTCTTCATCTAAGCCATTGTGCCTGCTTTTGAAGGTCTTAGTCTCCACCCCATGCTCTTGGGCTGAATTTAGAAGAGGAACTTATTATGGTAATTCTTTGTTACTATCCTAGCACTTAAAATGTCTCCTTTGCTAAAATGCATGGACCCAGATTCTCTCTTCCTACATCAAAGGATTTTTTCTGTAATTTACACTGCTCCTTTGGGATGTGCTAGGTCAGTCTGGCTGCTGTTGGGTGATTTTTTATGATGGAACTCTGAAGCAGCTGGTAAATAAATGGCCCTAATGGAAAAGTTCTGAGGTACAACTCTAATTCACTTTCAAAGGAAGCAGAATGGCCTTGTTCCAGAAGAGGGATTTGGTGTGTCTGCCAGAGAGAAGTGCTAGGGAGCATTGTGTGTATTGACGGATGGTTCTTCTGAAAACTTCCCTGTGCTCTCACCACCGTCCCACCCTTTAACATAATACACTGTACCCAAGGCATTTTAGGTCATATTTACCTAGTTATGATGAATGGATCACTTGTACTGTACCAGAACTTTATAGCTTCATTTTCTTCAACAAACTAACAAACTTGAATTTGATATAATTGATCTTCTTAAAATTAGGAAACATTGATGCATTGGTCTTAGTGATGTTAAAAATGCCCCATTTGGGGTTACATTTTCTGTTGGATGTTCATGTGGTCTCCTGCCATGTGAAGTGACAGAGGGTGTGAGCTGAGCTTTATGGGAATCTGCCACCCTTATAGAGCAGATTTCTGATTTCTGCTATGCTCCTGAGTTAGCTTCCTTTTGCCCTTGAGGAGGGCCTCCTGTGGAATAGGAGGATTTTCCCTCTGGGTTTGATCAGAGGTTCACTCGTTTCTCCTGTATTGCATATTTTAAAAACTAAATGTATATTTTGGAAAGAACTAGGCAAGTGCTTTACCTCATGGTACTGGTTAATAAGCTAGAATTTGTACATCTTTCTGTTCCTAAAACTGAACCTCAGTTGAGAGGGAATGGCAAGATGCTCCAAATATTATGGAAAAGAATAAGATTCTTGAGTAGACTATATGCAGCACTGTTTGTTTTATTATGAGAAGGTAGACTGCTATAAACAGGGAACACTCAGTTTTGGACAGATTTTGAAATAAAATGTGAAGGACCATACACTGGAATCACTTGAAAGTATTTGCATGCTAAGATCCATGTAAAAACAAGTAAATTGCAGTTTGGTAGAAAAGGTGTTTGGGGGATCGAGTAAGGACTGGAGAGTGATATGGGACCTGGCCCTGAGGTTGCCAGCCTTTACTGTCATTGAGCTTGCTCCAGGAACAGTGGTTATCTGTTAACTGTGTAGCACAAAAAAACTTTTTTGGGGGGTGGTGGGGAGTCAAAGATTGTAAAATTAAGTTGGCTAGGTTTGGGAGTTGTTCTGCTATGCAAAGATGTTCTTTTCAAAGGTTCTTTGTTAGAGTGGAATTGATTGGAAATGTCACATCAAATTGTATGACATGGATACTTTTTTACTTTATTAAAAAACAGGATGTTAAGCCTTTAAAGTTATATTTTGGATAACCTAGAAGTTGGATGATAGATTCTATTATTTTTGACTACTTTTTTTTCTTTTGAACTATTTTCTGTGTAGACCATAGGACACTGTGTTTAATTTTCTAGGAAACCAACAAATACGATCACCATTTGAATTCCAGTTTCCTTCAAACACTGACTGGTTATTTCCCTGGATTACTGACATTTACCTTTGATAGATTAATCCACAACTTACAGTTTTAGCAGATGTTGTTCTTTGTTCCGCTTAGAGGAGTCTTCCTTCTTTCACACTCTCTCCACCCCCCAACACTACCTCTTCCCTGCAGCATCTTGAAATGTGCTTCTCATCCAGATGTTAGTGTGTACACACACGTGCCAAGGCGAATAACTGATTTAATCATAGAGATGTTAGCAGCACATGTTTTGCAGCATGAAATTATTGCTTTACCTCTGATTCTTCTCGGTCCTGAATAGTTTTTTAGGATTGTGAAACCCTTTATTGTTAATATTGAATGTGAGTCTGACTCTTACCCTGGGAATGTCTGAGAATCCAGCCTGGGTGTGTGAGAAGGCAGGACAGTCCAGTTGCCTGCTCTTCTGGGTAGGGACACCTGTGCACATGGCTAAGCAGCTGGAGCTTCACTGCTTCTACTCTCAGGTGTCTCTGTGGCTCTGAAAGCACCTTAGAAGATAGAGGTAGCTGCAGCTTGTGGCTTGCGGCCCTAATGCCACTTTCAACTTGGCTTAGTCTCCTTTGAAGGGGAAAGTGGGCCAATCTTGGTGGAGATGCTAAGGCTGCTTTGTTGTGCACTTTGGAGCTGATGTGCTGGTGACTAGGCACCTGGGATCTCACCATGTCTTGCATCCATATCAAACAAGGGCTTCTCTTTGTAGTTCTTTATTTGGAATGTCTTCATAGTCACCTACTTTTAATTCCTTTCATTGTCATGAAATTACTGAGTGTTCTGTTGAGGGGTTGGGGAAAGAGGGAAAACAGGAAACCCTTTCTGGCTGTAGGGGTCTTTGTATTATTTGGGCTGAAGTAGCTTGTAGGACATTCGTGGCTGTCCTGGCCCTGAAGCAAGCTACAGGCTATGGCTGTGATGGCCTTTTCTGCCTAGAGGAAGATCAGTCCCAGGTCACAGGCAGGAGCCTAGAAACATGTACCTGTATGTGCCTGTAGGGACCCTGGAGAGATGAGGACTTTGAAGGGGTGGGGGTAGTTCTGTTGCCTCTCCAGGAAGTTTCACTTGCCCGGGTTATACAGGACCTGGGGGGAGCTCAAGGCTGCCATTGGATTACTCTACCTGAGGTCTCTTTGGAAGTCCTACACAAAGAATTAGCAAGTCTCTAATGGGAGAGATTTGCTTGACCCTGGCTCTGTGCAGAGTATTCACTTAAATGTTCACACAGTTTTTAATTAGGCTGTGGATGTGCACCAAAAGGGTGCAGAGCGTAAGTGTATGCTGTTATAAAGGCAGATTTCGGGTGTTTCTCTGCTGAATGGGAAGGTGAGTAGGTAGGGCATATGCTTCATTACCCTCTGAGGATGTGATGAGAGGGGACCAGGCATCACAGAGTTAGTCCTAGAACCCCCCAGGTGCTTGTCAGATGAAAGAAAGGGACGGCATGGTGTGGACAGTGAGGGGAAAAAAAGGACAGAAACCTTAGGAAGGAGAATAGGAAGAGCTTAGGATAGATGGTGCTGGGGGCAGCTGGATGCGGGGTGAGAGCCCATAGGGTCACCAGAAGGTGTTCAAAAGACAGCCCACCTGACAGTCCCTGGCTGCCTGCTCCCACTAATGCCTTCATCAGTCCTTAGAAGCCTTAGCCTTTGAACTGCAGCTCTCTCTGGTCACCTTTTTTTGCTCTGAAATTATGTGTGTATTTTATTATTCTGGAGGATAATCATATGCTAAAGATTGGCAGTACCTAATATTGGACCATTTCATCCATAAACCAAATTAGATTCATTTTATTTCTCTCATTTTGACCTAGAATGTATATGTAAATAAGTTTTTTTGATATTTTTAAGACACAAACGTATATTTGTTTCTAAGATTTACTGAGAATCAGCAAAAATATTTCACACTAGTTATTTTTATAATCCATCTAACTTGTGTGTATGTGTTAATGACTCTTATTTAAGTTTTTTAACTGGTATTTGTATGCTATGAATCTTATTGGTTTGGTCAGAAGTAAATATGACTACTTATTTCTATAATTTTAAAAAAGACACATCTATCTAATATATTTTATAATAGATTAAAATATATATGTATTTGGGCTGGAGTTGTTGCCTAGCATGTGTGAGGCCCTGGGTTTGATCCTCAGCACCACATAAAAATAAATAAATAAAATAAAGGTATTGTATTCCAACTACAACTAATATATATATATATATATATATATATATACACACACACACACACATATATATATATGCTTAAGAAAGTATTTGTACTTTTACTGTCAAGAGCTGACTTTAGTATTCCAAATATAGTGGAATTATACATGCAGAAATATGTTTATTTAAACAACAAGGTTGGAATCCCAAACAGCAGCACGCTCCCCAGAACTGAAGAGAAGAATCTAGTGCCATGCCACATGTTTATAGTAAGTACTGAAGCTTTACTGAGTGGTGCTTGAGTGTCAAGTTTCTTCATAAAAAAATTTATGGTGAAGTCTGTCTCTTTGCAGGAATAATGGAGAATTCTGGCAACCAAATCAATATAACTTTGATTTAAGAGTAGTGCTTGGGTTTTACCACTTTTCAATTAAGAGTATCTCTGGGAAAATAAACCAGAGCAAAGAAATATCCTTAAATATATATTTGGTTGAAAGTCTGAACTGAATTGCTTAGTAATTTATAACTTACAGTAGTTTAGGTACAACATTAAACTTGGCATTAAACTAAACTTCAATTTAATATTACAGCCACAAGCTCTACCAAATTGGAAGACCTGAGTTATTTAGATGGGCAGAGAAATGCTCCTCTACGGACTTCAATTAGATTACCGTGGCACAATACGGCTGGAGGTAGGGCACAGGAAGTTAAAGGTATTTATCCTTGCATCTGATATCACAGTGGATATGATGAGCTCATTCTCTGATAACCGGCAATGCAACTACCCAGATTTAAAACATGCTGTGAATTGTGTGTGTATATGGTATACAGTATCTATAAGCTATGCTAGGAGGCCCTCCTTAATAGTTTGGGCTTCTTCTTTGAAATTCATGATTAAATTGCTTCTGGGTTTAGAAAAGAATTCTACAGTGTTATTTGGAAGTGAAGGGTAATTTGGCACTCATTAGGTTTTCTGCTAACAGAGAATCAGTTTTGTTTCAGCTCTGTGAGCCATGTCAGCCACATCCTATGTCTCCCTATGTCACACAGTGGTGTGGTCAGCAGCCTCATCATGTGTGCAAAGCGCCATCATACCCAGATGAGAGCTGTGGCCTGCTGTGTAGGAAAATGTGTTTGCATTTTACTCATGAATGGGGTAGAAGAAACCTGACTTACATATGGTTGCAGATAAACCAGAGAGACATGGTTTGGCCCCTTGTATTGCTTTCTCTGTATCTGCCTTGAGTCATGAGAATAATGGAGGTAGGAGAGGACCACAAATCATTTTAATAAGAGACTATGTGGGATCCATAGGGTATAATAAGTGAGATATTACAGAAGAATTAATAAGCTCAGATTATAATTACTTAAAGACACATAAGCAATAATATCAATTTCTTAGTGTATAAAATTGACATATTTTTCTTAAAAAAAAATATTTTTTTAAAGCACGATTTGCTCCCTACAAGCCGCAAGACATTTTGTTGAAACCCCTGCTGTTTGAAGTCCCAAGCATCACAACAGACTCCGTGTTTGTGGGAAGGGATTGGCTCTTTCACCAGATTGAAGAAAACTTGAGGAACACAGAGCTGGCAGAAAATAGAGGAGCAGTGGTTGTTGGAAATGTGGGATTTGGGAAGACGGCAATCATTTCCAAGTTGGTGGCGCTGAGCTGCCATGGGAGCCGCATGAGGCAGATTGCTTCCAACAGCCCCAGTTCATCACCTAAAAGTATGTCCACATTTAAGTACTTGTCTCTAGTTTGTTTTATTAATATAAAATAGAGAAAGGAAACTGCTGTTTGAGTAGACATAAATTACCAGTTTTCCTTAAGTTGTTCCAGCAACTCTATCAGGTTTGCGATCATATGTTAAGTGAACTATCTGAATACTTCATCTGTCAGTGCGTGTCTTTAGCTACAGTCTAAGGTGCGACCAGCCTTCCCTGATGTCCTTCTGACCTGGAACCCATTTCTATCTTTATACAAGCAGAGATGGGGCAGGGAGGCCTGGTCAAGTTCCGTGGGGAGGTTTGGATCCTAAAATCAAGTGGTTGGGCTCCTTGAAAAACAATGCAGAATTATTTTGTATCCTGTTCACGAAAGCCTTTGTTTTCTATGCTGGATTTACAAGAATTATTAAGACTAAGTTGTGAGAGAGAGAGAGTAGCCAAATATTTGACTATTTCCTGCTTATTTTATGTGCAGTAAGCCCATTACAAAGAAAGTGTTTTTAAATATTGTAAACAAGAACAAGGGAGTTCTTGAGAGAGTTTTTTTTTTTTTTTTAAGACTAAAAGAATTTAATAAGGGATGCCAGATGTGGTGGCACATGCTTAAAATCCCAGCGAATCTGGAGGCTGAGACAGTTCTGGCCAGCCTCATCAACTTGGGGAAGCCCCAAGTAGCTTAGTGAGACCTTGTCTCAAAATTTAAAAAATAAATAAAAGGGCTCAGGATGTAGCTCAGTGGTAAAGCACCCCTGGTTTCAAACCCAGTACCAAAAGGAAAAAAAAAATGAATTTAATAAGGGAAACTGGAAACGATAGTTCTCTGGGTAGGGGACTTGGTCATGGGAGATGGGTAGGGGGCTGGTATGCTCATTCAGTCTCCACATTTTGGGCCATGTTCACTCATTATTGTTTTAAACACTCTCTGGAACCAATCAAGACTTCTAGTCCATATTCCATTGCACATGTGTGCTGATATTATAATGAGGTGGATTCTTCTCTAGCAGCAGATCCCACCCAGGACCTTCCTTTCACTCCATTGCTTTCACCGAGTTCTTCTACAAGTGGCCTCAATACTACCAAAACACCTTCAGGGCCTGGTACTTCTGAAAACCAGAGACCAAGAGAGGAGGCGGTGAAATACCTGGCTTCTAAGGTAACCTGCTCTTGTTTTATGAGAACCCTCCAGATACAAATTTGCTAGTTTGGTTTCCGAGAAATAAATTAGAAAAGGGATCTTAAAACAGCAATAACTGCTTGAGCTTAGCCTTTAATAAAATTGTGAGAGAGTACTCAAAAGTTATTCATGAAAATAAATACCTAAGGATGCTTGCAGTGTACTTTAATCTATCTAAAATAGTATATTGGAAGAGTTCCTCAAAGCATCAGGAGAGATTCTGCGTGCTGACCTCAAGTCCATCCTTAAAAGCACATGTCCTCTTTAATTTGCTCTGTGAGCAGGAGATGGGGAACTTTTAGCTTGACCCAGACTTCTTTCGCCTGATCTCTGTTGCCTGGGGCCTTTGGTTCCCTGTGTCCTTCTGTTGAAGTTTTCTTGTGATATTGTAAAAGAAACTTGGCTGACTTCCTCTTCCTGGATACATGGTCATCAAGGATCTTCTGCAATTTTCCTTCTGCTCCACATGCATCACTGGTTCGTGAGCTGCCTCTGGACCTTAGAGTGGTTGCATTTCTTGCCCCGATGAGCTGCTTAGGTCTCCCTCGGGAGCAATGGTGTGAGGTGGTGGAGCTAGACAATCACCAACTATGGCAGTCATGAGGGGCATCTCATAAGGATGCCCGTGGGGATGAGGTTGGTGCAGGGATTAAAACAGATGCTTCTCAGCCCTAGATTCCCTCCCATCTCAACTGCTTCTCAGGTGACAGTTGGTCAGCCCTAATGGCTCTGACCACTGGTTCACAACCATCCTCTGGTCATGAACAGGTGATCTGAGATGAGGCTTGTGGTGCAGACTTCAAAGCTACTGCTGCTACTATGATTTTTTTTAAACCCCTTTGATCATAGCCCAACTGAGAAATACATCTTATACTAGAGATCCAGTACTCGTGCAAACACAGTCACACACATAACAGAAGCAAAAGCATTACCAGTCAAAGCTCATTTTTATATCCTATAATATACTCTGGTAATTTAAATTCACTTTATTAACCTAAAAAAACTAGGCTGTTTGTGGCCCCAAATTGATTTCATGTCCTACTGTTGGGTTGCAAATTGCTTTTGACAAACACCATACAACATGACTGAGTTACCTGGTACCCTGTGGTGGTTTGCACACACTTATGGGGTCCTCACTTTTGTTTCTACTGATCTCTGTCCAGGTGAGAGCTGAAGAGCAGTTTCAGCTTTCTTCTAGATGTCAATGATATATTTAATCTAAACCAGAAGTTACCCGGTGGTTCCAGGTTGACCTGAGAAGAGCTGGTCTATGTCTACTCTTTAGTTTCTAAGAGTTCATGGCCTTGGTGTCTCATCCTCAATCTTTGGCTGGCCCTGTTACCTTGGCAGGGCATTTAACCTCTGTTCCTGTTGCCCTCAGCTGTAGGCTGACAGTTCTGAGCCTTCTTGCTGCAGGGCGTTGCAGAGCTGAGCAGGCTGGTGGTGACTCAGGCTCTTCTAAGGAACTGCACTTTACACAAGGGTTTGGCTCTTTTTCCCTTTCCCTAACTCATACCTACATGCTTCTTTTTCTCTACATACAGTATGCCTACTATTCCCAGTTCTGCCTCTGGCACTTTGTTTGGGGTCTGTCTAACAAATAACTTGCTACCACCATGGATCCATATGACAAAGGGTCACTCCTCAACCTGTAGATATTTAGGCAGCTCCTTCTCTCCTTCCATGTGCCCCTTTACATGCCAGGCAGAAACCCATAACTTGTGATTTTTCACCCTTCTGAGTTCCTGTTGAACCTGTGCAGTGGTCCCCTGAAGAAGTGTGGGTTTGGGGAGGTGTCTGAGAGCTTGAGCCCCTCCCACCAGGAGGAAGAAGCAGCTGACTTTGCAGCACGGGTTGGGTTTCAGGGCTATCAACTTGATCATCTGCTTTTTGAGGTCAGCAGAGGGTTCCCTAAAGAGGGACTCCTGCTTCTGAGGAAATCCAGTGCTGATTGCAATGCCAAGAACATTAGGGTTGCTTGTGGGATTCCTCTAAGCTAGGATAGGTTGTATACATAATTTTAATTAGCTTATATTTAGTACAGAGTTAGTTTTGCTGATTTTTGTGCTAATCAAGATGAATTTGTGGCTGCAATCAAAGGTCTGCTGAGAACTTAGTCAACCACATGATGGAAAGAGTAAACAAATCAATTAAACTAACAAATGACTCCGATCTTTGGGAATAGAAGCAGTGTAGTTTGTTATCCTGTTAAACAGGCCGAGTTGTGTTCTTTGAGGTTTTAGAAGGTGCTCTGAGGAGAGACTGGGGTGATGCTGACAGCTCTGCTTTGCCCACAGGTGGTGGCCTACCACTACTGCCAGGCTGACAACACGTACACATGCCTGGTGCCTGAGTTTGTGCACAGCATTGCCGCTTTGCTCTGCCGGTCCCATCAACTGGCTGCCTACAGAGACCTTCTGATAAAGGAACCTCAGCTGCAGAGTATGCTGAGCCTCAGATCCTGTGTGCAGGACCCCGTGGCTGCTTTCAAGAGGGGAGTGCTGGAGCCGCTCACCAGCCTGAGAAATGGTACCTCTCCGCAGACCCCAGTGCTCCTGTCCCCAGTACCAGTACAAGATGCCTGGGTGGTCCTCAGAAGGAAGAGGGTCAGCTGAGCTCTGGGGTGGCAGAGAGGATGTAGATGAATCAGTGCACATCTGGTCCCCTCCTCAGAACCAGACTCTCCCTGGGGTCCCTCCACACCCTTCAGTGGGATAGTTTTCAATGTAAGATCTCTAATAAGAATGAGCTCTCCAATTGAACAGTTGCAAAGAAGCCAGTTTCTAACTGTTGGGGATAGGAGCCATTCTTTTGACCCTCTGAAGGTTTGATATTTTGGTCTATGAAATGAACTGACAGTAGACAGATTAACAGGAGAAAAAACAAGTGAGTTTTTTAATGCATGCAGTGCATGCCATGTGGGGGAAACCTTGATGAAAGGTAACTCAAAGCAGGGACTTCAAGGCTCTGGCTTCTTTGGGATCTTCAACAAAGAACAATGAGTTTTAGAGAAGTAGCAGGATAAAGGGAAACAGTTTTAGGCTTCTGGAGGTGAAAATATTGGGAAGGTAAGCAGGAAACTAATGGTGGATAAGGGCTGGTTGGTAAGGTGGTTTCATAGATTCCTCTGGTGCTGTCTCTAGCTGATGAGGGTCTGCCCTTGTGATTAATTTCAGTTCTTCTCATTGAAACAGGTAGGGGGACACCTTTACAAATTTATGTCCCGATTTTAGGCTACAAGGTCAGGCAGAGAGCTTTTCTATACCTGCTTCTTGTCTTGAGCTCAGCTGTCCTTCCAGTCTCAGGGAGGTGTGTTCTGGTCTCCCATGTAACTCTAAGCTATTTAGATTCCTCGCTCCTTGAAGTCTTGCCTACATATTTTGGACTGCTTGGGAGCAGGGGAATGGGTAGATCATTTGGGGAATTTTCTAACATATTTTTTTTCTTTCAGGAGCCCTGCTCATTTGAGTCAAAACCTAAAGCTAATTCTAGAGGCTTCTATTTGGGTTTTTTGCCTTCCCCCAAATATTCTTTAAAGAAAGGGATGCTGGTGACAGTGTGGGCACATTAGGTTTCCATCTTTCCTCCCCTTTGCTCCTTACCGTATGAGCTGGTTACCTGCCTACATAGCACTTCTGCCAGAAGGTGCCAGAGAGAGGGATCGAGACTGATATGCCATTGTTTCTTCATTCCCTGGGCAAAAAACTGGCACTAATAAGTGTAAAACCAGACAGACTTGCAGGAAAGAGCTCTACTCTAGATATCTATAAGGTAGAGCTCTTACCACCTAGGGCTTGGGTGGAAGAGTTAGCCCTTGGTGGGGCAGGTCATTTTTTCCTTGCCTGGAATCCCTGAGGAGTTCTAATGGAGGACCCTACTGTTTTTTTCATATTTAGTCTCTGTGTTATCTTTGCTATAGACTACCCTAGTGGTACCAGTTTGTGAAGAGCTAACTGTATTATATACATGATTGAGATTCTGCTAATGTGTGTAATGCAATATGTTTCTGAAAACTGTTTTGTGAGAATTGATTTTCTTTTGGCTCTGTGCTCTGGTTTTCATTATAAATTTAATAGAAAATATGCTTCTGCAAAATCCATGTCTTCTGCCATATGTAAACCTTTTTATTTTTTTCTAACACTTTAAACTGTGCATTAAAATACACTGGGTGGTACAATATTATAGAAATGTATAATTGCTAAATTTGAAAAATTATTTTATCCTTTAGAGCAGAAAATTCCTGAAGAAGAATACATTATTTTGATAGATGGCTTAAATGAAGCTGAGTTTCATAAACCTGATTATGGAGATACACTTTCTTCATTTATTACCAAAATTATTTCTAAATTTCCTGCCTGGTTGAAGTTGATTGTGACTGTAAGAGCAAATTTTCAGGTAATAAAAGAATTCTCAATTCTCTTTATAATCCCCGTATCCCAGCTGTATAGTGATAAATACTAATAACATAAACTGTTGTAAACCATTTCACTGCTGAATTGAAAACCTATGTCAGGACATTGGAAAGTCAGTCCAAAGAGCCCTAAATGGGCAAAACACTGGCCATCGTAGCCTCTGAGGCATATTTATCAAGATAGCAGGTAAGTGTCCTACCAGTATTGACTGGTACTCGCCCTGCTTAAATGGCAGTATCCAGTTCAACTTTACTGTAATTCAGAGTGTGGGGTCGCCTGAGGTTTCTGGCTACCTGGTCAACTAGAGCAGTTCCTACTAGCAGTTATTGCCATGGGTTTACAGTGGGGCTTTGTGGGATCTGTTTGGTTTGCAGTGCTGGGGATCAACCCAGGGCCTCATGCATGCTGAGTACATGCTCTACCACTGAGCTGCACCTCCGACTCCACCTTCCTTTCTTTGAAGGAAAAATTAGGTATAAAAGAGACATTAAGGCCTATTCTGAGAGATCTGTACTTTATACAACTTTGACATGCAGCCTTGCAATGAGGTGAAAAGTGGGTTTTTTTGTTGTTCTTTTTCTATCTTCCCTTTCATTTGCACTCATTCATTTTACATTAACAATCGACTATACCTATACCATTTTCAATAAAGACATGTAGAAAACAGATTTTGACTTTTACCATTTTTTAACAATATCTATTTTAAAATGTATTTGGGTTATTCTTTTTTTTCCTTATTAAAACTTGGATTAGGGGGCTAGGGTAGTGGCTCAGCGGTAGAGTGCTTGCCTAGCATATGCGAGGTGCTGGGTTTGATCCTAGCATCACATAAAAATAAATAAATAAAGGTATTTTTTTAAAAAACTTGGATTGGATCTCAAAACACTGATTTTTGTTGTTGTTGTTGTTGTTAACTTTTTGGTTTTTGTAGTACCAGGGATTAAGCTGAGGGCTTCACACATGATAGGTAAGCTCTCTGCCACCCAGCTATACACCCCAAGCCCTTTTTTATTTTATTTTGAGACAAGGTCTCACTAAGTTGCCTATACTGGCTTCAGTTTGGCCATTCTCTTGCCTCAGGCTCCTAAGTAACTGAGATTACAGGTGTGCATCATGCCTGGCTTCATGTTTATTTTTGTGAACCTTTGATTCTTATGCTTTTCAGTCATTTTTACTCAGCATAGCTTAGGGGTACTTGGCACAGAAATGGGACTTGTGTTTTACTTCCTGGCTGTGTGAGTTTTCTGAGATTCAGTTAGCATTCATGTAAGATGGAAATGATTATACTCTGCCCTCTCCCTACAATTGCCAAACTAGAGAAGGACACATGCTTAAATACTTCAGAAGTGAGGGTGGGAAGTTAAAAAAAAATGTAACAGGTAAAAGTCCTCTCTACTGTTAGATGTTAGGCTTGTGCTTATATTTGGAATGAGGGAGACAGGGATTATGCTTGCCAGAGCTGGTGGCGATGTTTTTGGCTGCTGGGTACACAGGTGTATTTGTCTTTGTGAAAATTAACAATACTGTGCAATTAGGATTTTTGTACCAATGTATGTATATCATAGTTCAACTTATAGTTCAACTTAAAGTTTACTTAATTATCAATTTTTTTAAAATGACATGCCATATTGAAGCAATCAGCTTTTTTACCATGTGCTGTCAAGGGATATGGATTGGGGGCAGCCTCAGATTTCCTGGTTGGGTTCCTAGTCCCAGGACCTGATGCACATGTAGGGATGCCTCTTTTCTCAGGGGCTGGCTGTGTTCTTAGACATGCAGTGTTAGTTTGTTTTATCCATGTTACATAACCAATTGCACAGCATAAGGATTATGGGTATCAGATTACCTGCAGGGTCTCAGTGCCCCGCTAGGTAGAGGCTTGGTTGCCCTGTCTGTTCAGAGCTTTTTTCTCTCCTTACTTGGCTCCAAGTCCTTGATGTGAGCCTTGGGAAAGCCTTTACTGATTCTATCTCGCATCAGGATTTCTTTCACATAAGCTTTTTATCTGTACCTTATCCTATTACACGTTTTAATACAAAACAATGAGTCCCTGTAATCCATGAAAATCCTCCTTGAAAGAAAACTAGTGAACCTGGTTTAAAATGCAGCTGAAATAAAAAAAGGAACCTCTGTGGAGCAACACTGTGGGTTTTTGTCTTTTTGCAGGAAATCATAAGCGCACTGCCATTTGTCAAGCTTTCCTTAGATGACTTCCCAGACAACAAAGACATTCACAGCGACCTGCATGCCTACGTGCAGCACCGAGTGCACAGCAGCCAGGACATCCTCAGCAACATCTCCCTGAATGGCAAGGCAGATGCTGCGCTCATCGGGAAGGTCAGCAGCCACCTGGTGCTGCGGAGCCTCGGCTCCTACCTTTACCTCAAACTCACCCTGGACCTCTTCCAGAGGGGACACCTGGTCATTAAAAGCGCCAGCTACAAGGTGGTGCCCGTGTCTCTGTCCGAGCTCTATTTGCTGCAGTGCAATATGAAGTTCATGACCCAGTCAGCCTTTGAGAGAGCACTTCCGATTTTAAACGTGGCCCTTGCGTCCCTCCACCCCATGACGGATGAGCAGATTTTTCAGGCTATTAATGCCGGCCACATCCAAGGCGAGCAGGGCTGGGAAGACTTTCAGCAGAGGATGGATGCCCTCTCCTGCTTCCTCGTTAAGAGGAGGGACAAAACGCGCATGTTCTGCCACCCATCCTTCAGGGAGTGGCTGGTCTGGAGAGCAGATGGCGAGAGCACAGCCTTCCTGTGTGAGCCCAGGTATGCAGGCCACTTAGCCATACTCTGCAGGGAGCCCTGTGCCCTCGGGAGAAGGATTTCCACTCTGATCCATGGTTTTTAGTGGAAAGGCAACCCAGAATGAATAATTCAGTTTTGTTGCTTTGTTTTCTGCCCTTTGGGCAGAAGGAGGGGGCTGTGGAAAATTCTCTCCATTTCTGTACAAAAGCCTTTGACTACTGGAATTTCAGGACTCTGGTGTTTTGGTTGGAAGACAAGCTGGGTAGTGCCTGGGTGAGATTTGCTGCCAGTTGTCTAACAGATCCCCATCTCCTCCCGCCTCCCAACTTCAGCAAGGTCACATGTGGGGCATGGGACCTCCACTCCAGGAATGGTGGGCATCTCCAAGAGTGCTCATCTCTGGGTCTAGGGCTCCTTCTTGGATTTCCAGCACTGCCACTTCCCTGCTACCTCTTGAGCATGTGACACTTTGTGTCTGTGTTCCTGAAAGGGGCCTTATAATCCATCCTGCCCACCTCATTCTGTGTGAGTGGTTCAATGTGGGTCAGGCTTCCTGATGCTGGAGGGTGAGTTGGGGAGGCAAAGCTCTCTGTCTGTTGTGTGGCCTGGTATGAATTAGGATGAGAGGTGAGGCATTTGAGGGTCGGTGAGGGTGTGCCGAAGCCCTCCACTTCTGCCTGGCCTGGGCCTTCCTCTCTGCTGTCTTGAACAGCAGTGTCAGAGTCAGGATTGCTCCCTACCTCTAGTGACAGGGCTGGCAGGCTGCTAGACAGTCCCCTTAGCACAGTAGTGAGCACTGGACCAGATGTGGGGTCCAGAAATGAAGAGGTGAGTAAGAGCTGTGAGCCTTTCAGCCGTTTCCTCCCCACTCATACTGACTTCCCGTTACCTGCTGGGTATACCTGCTGTTCCATATGGTGGCTATTTTTTTCTTAGGTGACGCTAGGCTCAAGGTTGGTTGTTATCTTTTGAACCTGATTGGAGCAGCGAACTGTTAACATCCAGGTTGTTTAGCCAGACCGTGACAGCTAAGGTAACGTGTGCTGTAGTATAGCTAGCCATTTCCGATGATTCCCTAAGAAAAGTCAGACCATTTTCTAGGAAGAAAGCCTGTAGTTGAGTTTGTAGAGATACGAGTTGAAGACTTCAGGGATTTTGGGTTTGTTGCTGGGGTTTGGGGCAGAAGTAGATGGATTGTAGTCATTGGTGAACTTTGCTTCATTTTGGGTAGCGGGGTCCTTGAGTTCAGGCAGCAGAGCGGAGGGTGGTGACTACTAGTTACTATTAGTGATGGCATGCTCCTGAGTACTGCTGTGTCCTTATGGTATGCGTGGGGATGTCTCCTGGGATAGGGCCTGAGATGAGTGCAGGCAGGAGGGGTGCTGAGGCTACAGATTTAAGGAGATGCCCACTCTGGCACCATTGCTAGCCCTTTGAGTCAACGGTTTCCCAAGAACCCTGTTGTACTTGAGCTTCATTCAGCAAAAGCTAGATAACAATGTTAGAAGGAGCTTCTGAGTTCAATTCAGCAAGTTTTTGTTTTGTTTTATTTTGTTTGGTACCAGAAATTGAACTCAAGGGCACTCGACCACTGAGCCACATCCCCAGCCTTTCTTTAATATTTATTTGGAGACAGGGCCACGCTGAATTGCTTAGTACCCCTCGCTGTTGCTGAGGCTAGCTTTGAACTTGAGATCCTCCTGCCTCAGCCTCCCGAGCTGCTGGGATTACAGGGGTGCACCACTGTGCCTGGCTAAGCAACAGCTTTTGAGGTCCCACCACATGCAGATACAGAGGTTCCTGGAACAGAACCCTACCCTTTCTCTAGGGATCCCACATCGGAAGGTGGGTGAGGAGGGGAATACCATGCTGGGAGGAGCCTTGTTGCACACAGGACTTGAGGGGGAGAAACTTCCAGTGGAGGGCAGTGATTTCTGGAATGTTTCACACATGGTGACATTGGGGTAGTGTTTCTTCGCCTTTCTCACATAGTTGTGATTTTGCCCCAGTTGAGGCCAGGCATTCAGAGGCAGTGGCACTTCCCTTTTTATTTCTGCCTCTTTCTGTTCTACAAACCACCTTTCTTCTCTTAGAATCATTGTGCTGTTTGGTTTTTGTCATTTTACAGTACCAGGGGTGCTCTATCACTGACCTACATTGCCAGCCCTTTTATTTTTTATTTTGAGACAGGGCCTCACCAAGTTACCCAGGATGGTCTTAAACTTGAGATCCTCCTGCCTCAGCCTTCTGGATTTTTTTGCCTAACACATCACAGGCACTCTTCTAAGCTGTTGGGAAGTCTTAGAACTAGTGATTGTTCTTGTTTTTCACGGCAGTGCAAACCTCCTAGTATGTAAATTATGATGTTCTCACCATGCCCTCGTCATGGGACCTGGAAGTTGTTTCTAGGATACTTACATATCTGAAAACTCCCAGGGAATATCTTGGAACCTTACAGACCTGGGTTCAATTCCTGACTCACCTTCACTTCCATCCAAGCCGTCACAAATTACAGGATTTCATTCTTTTCCATGGCTGAATAGTTGTTATTCCAGGGTGCATACGTGCTGCATTTTCCTTATCCATTTACCAGTTAATGGACACCTGGATTGTTTCCATCTCTCGGCTATTACAGTAAACACAGGGATGCGGCGGTTACACACTCCGTGATGGGGTTGTGGTGGATCATAGGGTAGTTCTAGATGTTTTTTGCTTTTTGTGGAAGCTCATACTGTTTGCTGTAACAGCTGTACTAATTTACATTCTTACCAACAGTGTGCAAAACTTCCCATTTCTCCACATCCTCACCAGCACCTGTTATCTTTAGTCCCCCCGCCCACCCGCTTTCCTCTTTTTGAGGAACTGAGGATTGAACCTAGGGGCTCTCTACCACTGGGCAACATCCCCAGCCTCTTGTGACAGGATCTCACTAAGTTGCCCAGGCTGCCTCAAACTTGCAACCCTCCTGCTTCTGCTTCCTGAGTGTCTGGGATGGCAGGCATGTACCACCACGTGCCTGGCTTCAGTCTTTTTAAATAGCCATTCTTACTGAAGTGAGGTGATATTTTATAGTGATTTTGGTTTCCACGTCCCTAACGATTAACAATATCAAGTATGTTTTCATAGACCTGTTGACAATTTAATGTCTTCTTTTGAGAAATGTTTACTTGTTCTATTGCTAATTTTTTTTGGTTTTGCTTTTGCTGTCAAGTTATTAGAGTTCCTTTTATGTTGTAAATATCAACCCCTTATCAGATGTAGAGTTTCAAAATACTTTCTCCCATTCTGTAGTTTGTTTCTCCCATTCTGTTGATTGTTTCCCTTGCTGTGCAAAAGATTTTTAGTTTGACATCATTCCATTTGTCTGTTTTTGTTTCCTGTCTTATCTAAAAATCCTGCCTGGTTCCAATGTCCTGAAGCATTTCCCCTGTTTTCTTCTGGTACTGTCATAGTTTCATGTCCTCACATTTAACTCTTTAATGCAGTTTAAGTTGGTTTTCCTAACTGGTGAGAGCTAGGCTCTAACAACATTCTTCTGCATGCAGATCCCTAGTTTTCCTATCTCCGTGTATCAAAGAGGCTGTCCTTTTTCAAATGTGTTGTTGTCACCTTTGTTGAAAATCAGTTGGCCATAAATGTGTGGGTTTACTTCTAGGTTTTCTGTTCAGTTCCATTGTTTGGTCTAGGTTTTAGTTTTTATGCCAATAGCCTATTGTTTTGATTACTGTAGCTTTGTGGTATTTTGAAGTCAGGTAGTATAAGTGTCTGCTAGGCAAGTACCCTACTACTGAGCTACGTCTTTGGCCTTTTGTGTAAACATTCACAGGCTGACCCCATGCTCACAGTCTTCCTGCCTCAGCCTGCCAAGTAGTCAGGACTACGGTGTGTGCAACTGTACCCAGCTTCTGCTATGTTCTTTTTGTTCACATATTTTATATACATCTGTGTGTGTGTGTGTGTGTGTGTGTTTGTTTGTCTGTTTTACAGAGGTATTCATAGGTGATGCTGAGCACTTCTGTCTGGAGGCACATAACATCTTCATGTTCTCTGTGATGCTGGGACACATTGGTGCCCATTTCCTGCATCAACTCATTAGTGCTGCACAGGGACTCGTACTCTAGAATAGTCTGCACGGGCCTTTCCCATGCTGTTAACTTGAGGAACAAATGGGTAGGATATGACTAAGTAGAACAAGGCTATTTAAGCAGGAAGAGCTGTCAGAGACCCTGTAAGGCAATGACAATCTAGTTTGGAAGTTCTTTCATGGAATGGAGGAGTAGAAAGGGCCAACAGAAGGATGTGCCAGAGAGGATGGCCTTTTTTCTGTCCTCTGTGAAGAAGCTTTGAAGATTCTGGAGAGATTGTCTCTGTAGACAGGAGTGTGGCATGTGAGGACTGCTGTAGGGAGTTGGTGGCCTGGGATCAGAGTTGTGGTGGAGGGAGACAGCCTGGCTATCTGAGAGAGTGGGCCTGTGGAGGAGGAGCTGTAGGTGACTTCAGGGTGTCAAGTCTCAGGATTGGATTGGAGTTGCTCCCAATAAGAGCAGGAGGGCAGGGGGCAGCTTTCTCTAGGACATAGATGGGTGTGGGGTAGCTGCCTTTCCCAGGCTCCATGGGCAGGACTGACTGTAACATTGGAGGAAAAGTTGGTAGTTGAACATTTGGCGTCATTGATGAAAGGGTGTGGTGTGATCTGGTGAGGAAGTTTGTGTAAACAGAGGAAAAGGGTGTTGTACTTCAGGGAAGGAGGACAGAGGTGCCACCAAGAGGTGAAGGAAAATGAGGATTAAGAGGAAAGCCATTAAACTTTCAGCGTAGGAATAAGATCCTGCATCCTTAGGAGACCCCTTCTTTGGGATTATAAGGCGTGACAGAGGAAAGAGCCACAGCCTGGCATGGAGGATGGAAGACTTGAGAGATTTGGGGTTTCGCGTGTGGAAGCATTTTTGGTTTTGAAAACACAGGAGGAGGTTGGGACCTTGTTGGAAACATTGAGACAGTGTGGACACATGGTCCACAAGGAAGAAGAAATTGGAAATGCAAAGGAAGGCACAAGGGCCAAGTGAGGGGGCAGCTGGCCACCTCTTTGTGCCCATTGAGCCTGCTCATTGCACCATTCCTGCTGTGTTCCGTCTTGGTTACTTGTGTCTCCTCCAGTTGCCAAGAGCTCTTTGAGAGAAACACCCTGCATCATCCTCCTGTCCCACATGGTGCTGGTCATAAGGTGGACATCAGTGAACAAACCCAGAGTCATGTTGAACTGTCAAGAGCCCAGGCCCTCACTTCTCGCAGACTGTTTGTCAAACCCCTGCGCTCTCATTTACTAGCTGTGTGGCCTTGGACAAAGCACTTTACCTGCTCAGGCCCCTGTTTCCTCATGTAAACAGTGATTATGTGGAAGGGTGAGGGAGATAACGCAGACAGGTTTCTGCATCTGGGATAGAGCTCAGGCTTCATACCCGCAGGCTTTGGAACACTCATGAACTCGTGGATGCAGATTGTCTTAGAAGGGGCCACTTGGTCCCAAGTCAGCCTGGCCTTGGAGATCATGCCCTTCCCTGTGCGTGGAGACTTATTTTGCGTGTCCATCTCCTTGAATTTCTCCTCTCTAATGTGGTTTCCAACCTCTTTGAGAAGTAGGCATGCATGTGGATGAATAGGATATAAGTGATGCCTGCTTTTCATCATCTAGATTAGCTGCTACTAGGAGAATGCTTTTAAAAGTGAATATCTATATTCACATTTTGGATTTTATATGTATCATTTATCCTCTTCCTCCAGAACTACCTGCTTTTCCCTAACAGAACAGCAGTTCAAAATTGTCAGGTTGATAGATGGTGGGTGGGTGTCTTTTCCAAACAAATCGGCTTGAAGGCCCCATGTCCACAAGGAGACCGCATGAGTCCTTATAGGCAATGGTAGGGTGGCTCCTTCATCAAAGAGTAAGTGGGGCATAAGTGAATGGTGTTGGTCGATGTCCACCAAGTGCCCAGCTATAGGAAGCCCACAGGAACCCGTGCCATCCAAACCTGGAATTCTAGGCATTACGGATCACAGGCTGTTGCTGAGCATGGCTAGGTTGTTCTTTCCTTCCAACAATAAGGCCTTGTCCTTTGCTCTGGTGTTACCCCAGTGGTGGAGTAGGCGGGCCTGCAGGCCAGAGGGTTCTGCTCCATCTGTCTGTGCATCCATCCATATCCAAGAAACATATACTTACTGAGTATTTGGCACATTGCTAGACATTGTGACTATAGTGGTGACTCAGAGGAGCCCTCTTGTCTCATGGAGTTTGCATTTTTGTGACAGCATAAATCAATTATGCAGTGATAATTGATGAGGAGAGTGGGTGATTCCAGCCTTGCCCTGTACTAGTGCCTCAGAGAGGGTCACTCCACAGAGATGGGGCATCCAGAAAAATCCCTTAACATGACTCATCGAATAAGCAGCATTTGCCATCTTTAAAAAGGCAGCAGCCCACCCAGTGTGTGTGGTGGCACTGAGGAAGAGTTCTAGGGTTGCATGGCAATGTCCGTGGTGGGGTGGCACAGGACCTTTCATCATGAGCCCTTCTGTTTCTCGTTCTAGGAGCGGACACGCTCTCCTGGCGTTCATGTTCTCTCGACAGGAGGGCAAGCTGAACCGCCAGCAGACCATGGAGCTTGGCCACCACATCCTGAAGGCCCACATTTTCAAGGTGAGGCATGCACCCATAGGAGGGAGGGCTTCCTTGTTGTCTTTTGTAGTTTTGAAGATTTTGGACAGCTGTGTGAGCCATCTCAGAAGCCCTCCACAAGCCCCATCCCAAACATGACTCTCTTTCTCCCTCCCTAAAGTTGCCGTCTTACAGTCATTTCCTTGTATTTCTTTATAATTTATCACATGAGCATGCATCTGAATGCTCTGGGTGAGTATAACTTTCCCCCTTTGAATCCCTTTCAAGTTTCTTTTCATGCGGAGTTTGCCTTTATTCCCTTTTGTTTCCTTGTTATTTACTTGTCAAAGAACTTGAGTTCTTTGACCTATATAATTTCACACCACCTGGATTTCTAATTGTGTGCTTGCTTCTCAAGGTGTAGTTTAATGTGTTACTCTCGCCCCTGGATTTCCTGTCATTAGTCTTTGGGTTGACTTTACCCCCTGCAAGGTGTCGAGATGATTTTGTGGTTGAAGGGTGTCTGCAGGAAACACATGGCCTGTGCTTGCTGCTTATTTTGTGATACCATCAGCCCTTACTGGTCATGCCCGGACTCACTCATTCTTTAGGGGTTGCCTACAGTGATTCCCTAATTCCATCATTTAATCTTCTAATTCTATAAAGGGAAGCTTTCTCCTTTTCATCATCTCTCTCCCCGGGTGTGCAATTCATGTAGCAAAAACAGGGTGATTCCCTGACCCACAGTTGTAGCCAGGGAAGGCTCACAGGGCATTGTTCTTGCAAGTTACCCCGCCTTCAGCACCTGTTGTACCCTCTTGGCGACCCTGCAGTCAAACTGATGCCATGGGTAGGAAGGTTATGTTCACGGGATCTGTTTCTGGTTGTTTCCAGGGCCTCAGTAAGAAGACTGGAATCTCCTCTAGCCATCTGCAAGCCCTGTGGATAGGGTACAGCACTGAGGGTTTGTCTGCTGCCCTTGCCTCTCTCAGGAATCTCTACACTCCCAACGTGAAGGTGAGCAGCCCTCTGTCCAGGGAGCAGCATCTGGGCCTATTCCCACCTGTCGGCCCTGCCAGTCTGGCACCAGGCAACGTGAGAGGGACAGAGGAGCTTCTCATGATGCTTTTCCTCGATATCAATCGCACAATCTCTGTTAGAGGTTTAGCTTCTGCTCCAGCAGGAAGATATGGGTGGTCAGGGCTGCTCCATGAGTATGTGGTGACCATTTCAGGGCTGATGTGATAAGGAAGCAATTTACTCAGGAAATCAAAGGTCAGAGATTTCCAAGGAAACTGGATTTTTAAAATGCCTGGGTTACTTGTCTGTACTATCTCTTCGGGTTTCCAGTAAATTCAGCTTTGATGAGTGACACAAAGCAATGAGTACACAGCACACTGATGGAGGTCTCATGTGCACAGACATTTTTGACTGTGGCCAAGAGTGTCAGGTCCTTGGCTGCTGAGTCAAGAGCTGCTTCACTCCATGGTCAATGGCATTCATGTCACAGTATTCTGCTCTGCTTTTCAAGATAAATTTTCCTTCCCCAATGAATGCAGTCCAAGAATAGAAAGCGCCCAGAGGCCAAATATCTGGGTAAGGCCACCAAGAATTGTCCCTGCCTTGATGTGCCGGCCACCTGTAGAAGCTCCTCTGCAGGCCATTTGCCAGTAAGTCTGGTTATTTCCTTAGATCAGTTCCATGAAGCGATCACTGCATCATCTTTCAGTAACACAGGGATGCCCAGCCTGGTCAAGGACAAGGCAAGGCCCTGGCTCACACTTTCTGGGCATCTGACATCCACTTCTCCTCATTACCTTGGACGGGGGCAGTGTGCACCAGAGATGGAATCATGAGGGACACTCCTGGGGCCTTCTGTGCCTCTCCTCCCTACTGCCCACACACCTCATCCTCAGCATGCTCATTTTGGGCATGGGTCTGGGTCTGGTCTTGCAGAGTGCTTCCTCCATGTCTAATTAGAGGTGTGTCCTGCCCCTTCCTCACTTCTGCATCTCCCTGGTGACTTTGAGAGGTGAGTGTGTCAGAAAATTGAGGCTCCCAGTTGTTGTGGGAGGACCTAGCAGTGCTCTGAGTCTTGGGGTGACCCAGACCCTGCTGCCTGCTGTAAGACTTTGGTATGGAGTAGAGAGAGTCCACTGTCCCTGGGTGGTAGACACAGTGTCTTTACAAAGTGCCACCTCATCTAAGTGGCCTACGCCCCTGTCAGGGTTGGAAGCTGACTGGCAGAGCCTGTTGGATTTCAGTTTTGATTCACCTGCTTTGCTGGGTGCCTTTGTGCCTGCATTCAAGGTGTGGAATAGCTCATGGCACCCTGAGCTCTGTCCTGCTCCAGGCCTGATCCTTTGCAGATTATCACTCACGCTGCAGACAGCAGATCTCAGGGCTTATATCCCAACTGAAGCCTTCTGCATTTTTTTGAAGGTGGATGGGCAGGAAGCCATTCATGTAATTCAGTGAAACCAGCCCTAAACCGCTATTGCTGATGGTCAGAGGGAATGTGCTCTTTCCATGTAGTTACCCAGAAGAAAGGGGAGGATATGGCTAAGTTCAGATTTCATATAATGAAAAAGCATTTGCTTATGTGTGGTATTAGGAATTGAACCCAGAGGTTTTTTACCACAGGGCTACGCCCACACCCCTTTTTATTTTTATTTCAAGATGGGGTCTTGCTGAGTTGTTGAGGTTGGCCTCAAACTTGGAATCCTCCTGCCTCAGCCTCTCAAGTCACTGGGTTACAGGTGTATGTGACCAGACCCAACTGAGGAAGAAGCATTATTAAGAATTTTTTCACTTAGATTAGGTTACTATAATAACATTGTTTCATCTTTCCTATGATAGTTAATAGTATATCTTTTGGCTTCTCCATAATTTATAAAATTCTGAAAGAAAGAAGAAAGGCAATATGTTTTCACTACTTTAACAAATTTATGGGAACAGAAGTTACTCGAGGTGCAGAAAAGTGAGAAACATCATATTCTATTGAATATAAGTTTTTAAAACAGCAAATTAAAAGGTAGATATAATAATACAATGAGCTTGGCTCTCCAGGATTATAAACTTTTCCTTTAACATACTTGCAATTTAAAGAGTGTTCATTTTTACTTTGTTTTATACAACTCCTATGTCACCTCATCTGTACCACCCTCCAAATCATATAACTTGGCTATAAAATTGTAAGTCTTTCCATTATCCTTTTGAGTTGTTTTTTTTTTTTTAAATCTTTCAAGGGGGGATAAAGGTTTTCACAGAATCTTGAGCAAATTACAGTAATTTAAAATTATGCATGCAATTAAAGAACTTTTTTTAGAGAGCATTAAATGTTGTCATACAGGAATGAATGTCATTTTGAGAAATAATTGCAGTTTGCCACTTTGGTAAATTAAAGTGACTTGCTCTGGAATGATTACTTGATAATTTCAGAATGCCAGTGATTTCTAGCACTGCAGCCTCTCTTCACCAGGTCAGGGTCATACCAGCTTGTGCCCAGCTGGCCTGCTGAGGTTCTTGCCGTGAACACCTCCAAGCCCCCATCCAGCTGCTGATTTTCTGTTAGTGCCATCTCATAGAACTGGCACCATCCTCAGGCTGCGTACAGGAGCCAAGTCATGGTGGTTCTTTGCTCAGCTGAAGGTAGGGATGAGAGGAGAACTTACCCTAGCTGAGGACAGGCAATCCCGTCCTTCTGATTCACAATTAAGCCACTCACATTTTAAAGTTGTTGTGCCTATGTGAGCTGCCAGTATACTTAGTAAAGACACGGCAATTCCCACTTCATAGCCAAACTGGCCAGTGCCTCTCCTCTTCCTTGTGGTCATGTCTCTTTACCTATCCCCAATACCCATGCTTTTAGATAATATTGCCACTTCCAGTTGTCAGCCAAGAAGAGCACTGTGACAGTGAGTGGACATCTCCATGCAGTTGGAAAAAAAAAAAAATCCATGACATATTTCATGTTGTTACCTCCCTTAGCACCATCTCACTCAGAGCTGCTGCTTTGCTGCCATGCTCATATCAGAGGTTAGCTTTGTGCTCTGAGCTAACCTTAGCCTCACCTGCTCTGAGCCTTAGTTTCCTCATCTATAAAATGGAGATGACAAAAAAGTCTGTCTTGTAACATGATCAGAAATATCACTGTTAATGCTCTTGGGGAAATTCATGGCATTTCTTAAATGTTACTTCTATTGGTACTTCACCTTGGCTCTGGACACTGTGACTGCTGCTGCAGCATCAGGATCTTCTGATTGCCTTTGGATATTGTGAACAGGAGCTAAGGCCCCATGATTCCCTGTGAGGCACATCTACCCCCCATTCCTGCATGCAGGTCCCTGCTAGGAATAGCCTGGGTGCAACAAGGCCATGTGAGTGGGAGACCAGACCTCCAGGTCACCAGGTACCTGTGTTCTTGTCCCTTCTGAAGACTGTACAAAAGGGTGATTGTAACAATAACAATTGGTATTCTTTTAGTGCTTGGGGGATCTGAGTGCTGCCAAATACTTTATGCACACATGTATATGTATACACACACACATATATACATACTTTTTTCTGCACATTTTTAATCTTTACAACTGTTCAGTGAAGTGAAACGGTTTGTTGTTTTGAGACAGGATCTCACTGTGTTGCCCAGATTGGCCTCAAACTTGCAATCCTTCTGTCTTACCCGCCTGAATAGGAAACTAAGCTCCATGTTTCGGTTGAAGAAACTGCAATTTAGGGCAGTTGGTAGCATTCTCCGGGTCACACAGCTGGCAGGGACTGATGCAATCCCATACCATGTCTGCAGGGGCCTTTATCACTTGTGTGTTTACAGCCCTGACTGCCAACTCAAATCACTTGGGAGCTCTGGATGGCAGAACCTTCACCACAGTTAAGTCAGAATCTCTCAGGTGGGGCACAGGTGTTGGAAACTTTCAAGCTCCCAGATGGTTTCCATGTACAGCAGTGTTAAGAGCCGTGGGTTTAAGATCAACAAACTTGTAGGAGATTAAGCCGTAAAAAGACCCACAGCATTGCTCCAACAAAGGGGGATGCATTGATGAGGAACCTCTTCAGGAAAGCTCCACCCCTAAGTGTATACCTTCCAGGACCCGAGTATTGAAAGTACACCTTCCAACACTTTTAACAAAGAGAACCTGTTAGGTAGAAAGGGGTGGGAGCTGAAGCACAGAGAGGATGAGTCATTTAATAAGTCACACAGCAAGCTGAAGCATAGGGGTGAGAATTCAGACCATTCAATCCATCATTTTTTTCCTCATAGGCCCACAGGTGCCAGGAAGGGATGGGGTTGATGGGTAGAGGACAGGATAACGAGTTGGCATAGTCATCCAGGGAATTCACAAATGACTCCTGTCTGTCCGTGGTTGTCCTTAAGTCACTTATTTCTATGTATGTACATCTTCTATTTGCCTCTTGCTCTGAACTGGTTTCCTAGGCCTTGATAAAATCCCCAAGTATTCCTTTTTTTTTCCATTCCAATAATAGTCATTGAAAGGGAAATCACTTTTAAAGACTTTACTTTTACCTGGCACTTGAAATTTTAAAATACTTTTGAATTGTGCTTGAGTCTGGTGGTGTTTTTAAGAGTGAACCTGTATAGATTTGTAGCAGGAATGAATGAAATCGTTTGAGTGTCACATTAAATGTGTGTTAGGGCAGGAACACTTTTCTGATATCCCTGTTTTCTGCCTTCCTGTCCATAAGTTATGGTTGATTGCAGGAGAGTGGAGCCTGGGTTGGGTGCTGATCAGGTCCAACTAGTTGGTGGTACGTCTGATGGGGTGGGGGTGGGGGGTTGCCAGGTAGCCGGCTGGCTCCGCAGGGCCTCCTCATTATGTATGTGGCCTCTCCTTCCCTGTGTGTTATTAATGGTCCCAGTGAAGTGAAGGACCTGACTCCTGGGCCATCTCTGTCTTCAGAGGGGCTTGAGTTCCTATCTTCTTTTCTGTGCACTTGTGACCAGCATGTGGTGCAGTGAGTAGGCTAAGCCAGAGAACCGTGTACCGAGGGATAGAGAGGGCCTGGAGGCGTGCATGGGGGCAGTGGTGAAAATATTCTCAACAGGCTGGGGACTGCTCTCTGGGGTCCTGGTGTGGAGCAGAGACCCACAGGAAGTGATCCTTGGGCACCATGTCTATAGAACGAACCTTCCAGTCAGAGGAAGGAGGGCAGAAGCCCTGAGAATAGGACCTGCTTGGCCTTGTTATGGCACAGGCTTCAGGACCAGGCGACCCAGTAAGGGAAGTGAGAGGAAGTTAGAAGTCTGGATCATGTGAGGGTCGAGCTTCGACAGCAAGTAAGACATCTTCAGATTTGGGGCTCTTCTTACCTGTCGGGCTGCCATGGTGTGCTGTGGCCTCACCACCTGAGAGCATAACCTCCCATACCTAACAGCGTGACCATCTGTCAGCTACTCCAGTGGACAGGGATCACCCGAATACACTGAATTCTAGATGCCTGTCATTTTCCTGTGTCTTTTAATGATCCCCACGTGTCTCTAGTCAAATACATGACATGGTCTCTGTGGTTCTCACAGCTAATGGACAGCCCCGAGGACCTGCCAGGGTTTGGCAGAGAGAGTGATGGATGCAGGTCCCCTGAAGGAAAGTGTTCAAGGAAACGTACCAGGCATCTGAATAGGCACTGAAGGAGCCACTTCCCACCCCAACCCCACCCGACGGAGATCTAGAGATGTGAAGGAGACATTAGTATAGCTGAAATTTGCCTGTGTTCAATGAGATTTGTTGAGTTTAGTGGGCAGTGGCACGTCTGTTGTTAGTAGAAGCAACAGGTGACTTCAGCCATATCACACTGCTGACAATCCCAAGGGCATGTGAACACATCTGTACATTAGTATTTTCTTCTAGAAACACATCCTTTAAAGAAAGGGGAGTGTATTTTCTTTGGGCTTTATTTCACTGTTAACAGAAATTTCAGTTTTCTGGAGATGAAATAATATTTTTATTTAAATTAAACATTGTTTTTTTTTTAGTGTGGTCCCCAAACCAACAGTATTAACATCACCTGGGAACTCATCAAAAATGTACCACCGAGACCTCCTGAATTGGAAATCCAGAGGACAGGGGTTGGGGAGTCTGAGACTTCATGTTTTTTAATTTGTATTTTCACTTATGATAAACACACATGATAGAAATTTACCAACTTGGCCATTTTTAAGTGTACAATATATTCACATTGTTGTGCAATAAAAAAATCTCTGGAGGGGGCTGGGGCTGCAGCTCAGTGGCAGAGTGCTTGCCTAGCACATGTAAGGCACTGGGTTCAATCCTTAGCACCATATTTTTAAAAAAATAACATAAAGGCAGACTGTCCATCTATAACTTCAAAAATATTTTTTTTAATTAAAAAAATAAATCTCTGGAGCTTTTCATCTTATAAAAAAACTCTGTATCCATTAACACCTCTTCCACTTCCTATTGCTGCATTTGACTACTATAGGGACCTCATAAGTAGTAACTTTCATCTGCCTTGTTTAAGTTCTAACATCTTTAAAGCACATGTCAGGATTTTCTTTTTAAGACTGAATAACATTCCATTTTATGCACATATTGCGTTTTCTTTATCTGTTCATCTATTGGTGGGCAGTGTGGTTGCTTCTACCTCTCTGACTCTAAATGATGCCAAAGTAAACATGGATGGTAAATCTTTCTTTGAGATCCTGCGTGTGGTTGTTTGGGGTGTATACTCAAAAGTGGGATTGCTGGATCATACAGTAGTTCTATTTTCAATCTTTTTGAGGAACCGTGAGACAGTTTCCCACTGTGTCTACACTGGTTTCATTCCCACCAGTGAGAATATGTGTTATTCACATGTCCTCCTGGCTGATACTTTGCTTACTCAAGTTTGAGGTCCACTAGATTATGATGAAATGTCATTGAGATTAACTTGTATGTGAGAATTAATCTTATTGGGGGACACCATCCAACAGGTGAGCCGGCTCCTGATTTTGGGAGGGGCCAACGTGAACTACAGGACAGAAGTGTTAAATAATGCCCCCATCCTGTGTGTCCAGTCTCACCTGGGCCACGAGGAAGTTGTTACTCTGCTCCTGGAATTTGGGGCCTGCCTGGACGGGATGTCAGAGAACGGCATGACTGCACTCTGCTACGCAGCAGCTGCTGGCCACATGAAGCTGGTGTGTCTGCTGACCAAGAAGGGGGCACGGGTAAGCAGCAGCTTCCCTGCTCTGGGACAGCCAGGGCATGGGGTGGGTGGGAAATATCTGCATATTGTGGTTTGAACTGTTACTAACTAGGCCAGTCTCCCTTTGTTTGTGTATTGTCCAATCTCAATGAATGCAGAATCCTCAGCATAAATGGAGGGGCTGGACTACAGGTGTTGCCAGTTTATAATGTTGCATGGTATAGAGCAGCCTTGGGAGAGAGTTGGGCCATGTGCTGGCTTCTGAGTTGTTTCTCTGCTTAATGCTGCCCCAAAGGGAGGTCTCAGGGAGAATCCTGACCACCAGCCATGTGAGTAGGGCCATCCTTTATGAATCCTGCAGTGTTTACCTAGAACTTGGTAGCATTTAACATGGCACCATAGTGGCCTGCAAAGATTTTAATCTTATCCCATTTTATTTTGTGTCTTTTTAAAACAATATCAAGAGTTCTGTAGATCTTAGAAGCCACGTGCTTGAGCTGCCGGGAGTCACCATCTCTCTATTTGCCCACTAGGATGCTGGGCAGGTTACTGAACCCATGTGTCCCAGGCTTCCCATCTGTCAAATGGGAGTCACAGTAGCATCTCCCACAGTGCTGCTATGTGAGCACTAAATCAGCCTGTTGTCAGTAATATGAAAAAATCATATTATTAGCCAAGTTCCTTTAAAACTATCAGTGTTGATAGATTAAATGAAAAGTACATGGAGTTCCCAGTAAACTCCCTCTAGCTTTATTATAAACATTTCATTAGCAGATGTATCTTTTGAATAATAACAGATAAACCACTGATGATTGCTTTTGCATTTTTATTTAATTAGGATATTTAAAGTTCAACATCAGTACCAAAATACCCTCAAAATATTAGGTTTATAATAACTATGGAAGCTTTTTTTTTCCTCTCTCTCTCAAAAATCCGACACTTGGGGGCTGGAGAATTGGCTCAGAGGTAGTGTGCTTGCCTAGCATGCGTAAGGCCCCAAGTTCAATCCCCAGCAACACACACACACACACACACACACACACATTTGGATCATCTAAATTTTAGCTCCTAGAAGAAGGGGTATGTCTCTGGAGGCTTTGCTATGGGTGCCTCACTGCTGTGTGGTCTGCACCTTCATTCCAGGATTCAGATATCCCTTAGCTTTACTCAAAGGCTGGCAGATGGAAGCCAGTGGACATGTTGGTGGCTCTTGCAGAGCCTCTGAGTGCATGTGCAGCACTCCTCAGAGTTTGCAAGCATGATGAGACTGGGCCCTGGCTCCTCCTCAGCCCCCAGACTCCCTGGGTACAGAAGGGCAGTGGACTGCTGCCTCCTCTGGGCCTCCGTAGATGCGCACTGCTCACACTCGCCCTTTGGGCCTCCGTAGATGCGCACTGCTCACACACTCTCGCCCTTTCTGGCCAGTGGCCTCCTCTGACTTTATGCACCACCCCACTACCCCTTTTACATGCCAGCATGTCCAGAGTTTCCAGCCTGCACAGACTCCCTTTGGCCTTCCTCCTTCAGAGCTGCAGTGGCAAGATCCCTCCCTTTCTCTGGCTCCTCTGGTTCAGTGACCAAAGACCTGTTCTCCCCCACAAATTGCAGCTTCCTGTGCCAGCCTGAGAGAGCCCACCTGGGCACCCAGTTGGGAAGCCCAGGGTTTTGTCTGAGGTTTTGGTCTGTGTCCTTCTATGTGTAACCAAGAGAACTTGGAGCTCTGTGCAGTGTACCAGGGGAGTGTTTAGACAAGGAGGGTATCTTGTGATCACTAGTCCTTCAAAGGGAATCCGAGGCCCAGATCTTTGCTTTCATTACCATGCAGGAAATCAGACAAAGGTTCAGTGCTGTCCAGAAAGACGTGTTAGAATGTGAACCTGTGTCTGTTTGGAGTTTACTGGAGCCTGCACACAGCCTCTGGTGGATGTGGGTTCTCAGAGGAAAGGGGATGCTCATCTGTGCCCTTCCCCAACTCCTGCCCCCCAGGTGGACCACTTGGATAAGAAAGGCCAGTGTGCACTCGTCCACAGCGCGCTGCGAGGCCACGGTGACATTCTCCGGTATCTGCTGACCTGTGAGTGGTCAGCAGGTCCTTCCCAGCCCGCCCTGAGGAAGAGCCAAGCCCTGCAGCAGGCACTGACAGCAGCTGCCAGCATGGGCCACAGTGCGGTGAGTGAGGCTATGCTTCCTTCCTGGGAAGTGGGACGTCATAGAGCCCAGTGGGTCAGTTGCTTTGGCTAATGGGTACCGTTCACATTGTGAGCCTGTGACACATTGAAGGAAAGAGAAAAAAGAGAATTTTGAGAAGTAGCCGTTGGCTTTGACCATCTGTAAGGGCTTCTCTTGGATCACATCCTTCCTCAGTCCCATCAGCTGTGACTGGGACAGCTGGGTTGGTTCTTCCCATGCAAGGCCTCTCTCAGTGATCTCCGCTCTTCCTCCTGTTTCTTTCTTCCCCGTTCTACTTTTCCCTTTGCCCTGCCGTTTTACATTTTTTTCCCTTTAATTCATTCTTTTATCTTTGTAATCTTTTAAAAATAATCCCATGGAATCCTAGTTCTAAAATCATTCTTGAGTATTTGAGGGATTTTCAAAAATAGAACTTTAATGCTTTGGAAGCACATAAATAAGAATGCTTGTCATTCAAGCTCCTCCACTGAAGGAGAGCTTCACAGCTGCTAAGTCGAGCACTTATTTCTGGTAGATACAGTATTCCTCATTTTGAAGACTTAATTGTCATCTCCTGATCTGTGTCTTAGCTCAGTCTTTGAATTTAATAAACATTTTACTCACGCTCTTCCTTGTTTTTCTCACTCTGTATTATCTTCAGGCAATTAGAGGTGCCAGTAATTGGTAAAATTCTTTCCCCAAAATGGCTTAAAGTAAATTCGAGTGCCAAGCTGGCTGACTGACATTTGGCACTTAAACACAAGGGCAGACACACACACACACACACACACACAAGCTTGTACTGCTGGCTGTCTAATTTGGGGCATTGAAAACACATGCATAAATATACAGACAGAGTGTTAAATGCACATATCTGAAAATGTAGGTATTTTTCCTTTCTAAACGGTTTCCTAAACCTGAGTGTGTCTAAAATGTGAAAAATCAGCATTTGGGGTCCCGGGAATACCAAATGTAGATTTGGCTCTCGTCTCAACTTATGTTCACCCCTCATTTTTAAGCAGGCTGGGAAGAATATGAGCAAATATGAGCACAACAGTAACCATACCATGGAAAGAAGCAGGATTTATTCACCAAAGACTTAAAGTGTAACAGTTTCCTAATGCTGTCATGACAATGGTCACCAATTTGGTGGCTAAAATCAATACATGCTTACTCTTAGAGTTCTGGTGGCCAAAGTTCTAAAGTTAAGGTGTGAGCAGGCCACCATTCCTTCTGAAGGCCAGTCTGTTTCCTGGCTATCCTAGATTCTTGAAGCCACCTTTGTTCCTTATCTCACAGCCCTGTACTCCACCCTTAGAATATGTCACTTTAACTGTAGCTCTGTTGTCCTTCTGCTCCTTCCTCTGACTTGGATTCTGTCTGTCATCTTCTTCTGAGGACTGTTGTGGTCACATCAGATATGATAGCAGGTACACCATATAGTCTGATAATTCAGGATCATCAGCCCATTTCAAGATTGGTTATCACATCTGCAATTTTGCCATGTAAGGGAACATTTGCTAGTTCCTGGGATTTGGTTGTTACTCGGCCTAGTAAGAACGTATGAATTAGGAGGCTGGAAGATAGCTTTGACTTGTTTTCTGTTGCTCAGGGTGAATGTTGGCCCTGATCCAGGGCATGGATGTATCCAGTTCCCTGAGATCCAGCTCTCCTGCCTCCATTCCATATTGTGACCTGACCTACTCTTTGACCTGAAAATGCCCCAAAGGGAAAAGAATAATGCTGCCAAGTAGAGAAATCATTTGGACAATACTTGAAAAATTTTTGTTGTTGTTGAGAAAAAAAAATATATGTAATGTATGTGTGTGTATGTGTGTGTGTGTTTTATATATATATATATATATATATATATATATATATATATATATATATATATATATCTTGCCTAGTTTTCCTTCCTTCCTTTAAAAAAAAAATGGATTCACCATTTTCTGGTGATTTATGCAGAAACTGCACTTTATGTGATCTGCCTTGTCCTTTGTTGATTAGGCTGGCATATTTGGGTCATGTTGGAATTCATTAGAATTCTGAGTACCTAGTAATTCTGAACAATGTTGATGAAATTCACTGAGATTTTTTTTTAATTCTTCTCCAAGTGAAAGTGTGAATAGCATATGAATTATGCTTGAAAACAGTTTTCATTATATTTTCTCTCCTCGTGCAGCATGAGATAATAATGGTTAAAAAACAACATTCTCTTCTTTGATATGTGGGATATAATAAGCACCTATTGCCATGAGAACTCATTAAGTCACCTTGCCACTTCTGACAGGTGGTCCAGTGCTTGCTGGGAATGGAAGAGGAACATGAAATAGAAGTCAATGGCACCGACACGTTGTGGGGAGAAACAGGTAATTAGGCTTCCACTGCATGTAGTATGGGGCAACTCACTTGATGTTTTAGCCCCCATTGTGGCCTAATTGTCTTAAGGATGACTTGTGATGCATGTAGTCCTATTTTTATTTTATCACGAGGCATTTGAAGTTTAAAGCTTTTAAACTTTCCAAATGGTAGTAAAACTTCGCTAGAAGCATATAAAATTTGAATCATTTTCAATTAGAGTAGCAGTTATCATGCATCTGAGGAATGTCAGATGGAAATACCTAAATAAGGCATCTGGTCTGCCAGGTCTTCACTTGTCCTGACCACCTGATCTTCCTGGGACTTGTGCAGAATGAGCCGGGCAGGCACGTCCACCTCATTTTCAGGTGAATCAAAGGTGGCTCATTAGGAAGGGCTGGGGCCTGCCCTGCCTTGTAAAATGAGGGTAGAACTCAGGTTCCATGCACCTACCTAAAATACTAAACAGAACTAATAAGTCAGTTTCTATTGATCTGGGGTGTGTGTTTAACTACAATGGGGAAATGCCACAAGAAAGAGTACATTTTAATGAAGAGTGAAATTCTGATGAATGAAGATAATGCTGGTTGCAAATTTTCCATTTGACCAAATGGGCATTAGAAATCTAAAACTTTAGATTATGAATTATTTTTTAGTGAATATAGCTGGGGTGTTGAATGTGCATTTCCAGGCTGAGTTCTGTGTGTATACATGGTGTGTGATTTCCATTTCTCTTGCACAGATTTGTTTCCAAATGCTTCTAAATTACTTCCTAACAAGCCAGATGGTGGTGTGGAGAGATTATTAGCTAACTCACACTTAAGAGAAGCCTCAGAGATTTTCCTGGTGGGAGTGCAGTCCTGCCCTTGAGAGTCCCATGGCCCCCTCCAGGGCTGTGGCCATCGGCCTGGCTTCCCATTGCTCATCTGGGATTGAAGGAGGAGCAGGCACAGCCTGGGTTGCAGAGAAAGTACAGGACTCCAGATGGTGTGGACTATGCATAGTGCCAAAAGTGTGCAGACTGCAATATTGCCACTTCCTCTTTACGGAGTTCTTCACCATACTTTTAAATTGTCCTTTGGCAAAAGAAAAGTTTCCATCAAATTCCACACTGTCAGCAGAGTAGCCAAGTGGAGAACAGGACTTTACTCATGGCCAGAAAGTCGGAATCCCCCCCCCCCTTTCATTGCCTAGTTGAGCACCTTGGGACAGGTGTCTCTGTCAAATGAAGTAAATATCACCTGCCATTTAGGAGAGAGGCGACTATTAAGTGAGGTAAAGCAATCACCCTTGAGGCTGATGATGTCAGCTTCAAGAGCACTGGCCCCTAGACACTCTGATTCATGGGGTCTAGGGAGAGCTCTGTATCCTGGGTTATTTGAAGTGATTCATCCACCAGGAAAAACAGAACTGCTGCACAGAGCTGTCTGGAGTGGTGACACAGTGTGACACCTGTGAAAGATGGCCACAGTGACTGTGAGGTTAATGCTAGCCAGAGAAGCACCACATCCTTAGTTCAGAAGGGGATCACCAACCTTTAGTGTTCAAGATGATTTTTTTCTTCCTGGAATAATAATCCCAAGGACTGACTTTGAGGGCTTTTCTTTCTCTTGATGATCAGTCCTGAATTTCAGTGTCTTCTCCCTCAAGATTCTGCCAGTGGGTTGCTGGCCAAGGAGACATGTGAGACTGCAGACTTCCCCCTAATCTTCTTTATTTTAACAACACACATTTATTATCTCAGTCTCTGTAAGTCCAAAGTCTAGGCACAGCATGGCTGGGTTCTCTGCTTCAGGGTCTTACCAGCCTACAGCGTTGACTTGGGCTGTGTTTCTCATCAGAGACTCCATGCACTGAGGTCCTTGGCAGGATTCATCTTCTGACCACTGTCCCACAGGTCTCAGTTTAAAAAAAAAAAAAATACAGAATAGTTTCGTTCAGCCTGTCTCCAAAGCCTCATGTATGGCCTTTGAGGGCTAGGAAGCACTTCCAGTTTCCTTATCAGGTGAATTTAATCAGTCAAGAGGATTTCTTTGTTTTGTTTTTGTTTTTGTTGGAATGCTAGGGATTGAACCCAGGGCTTCAAGCATGCTAGGCAAGTGGTTATCACTGGGCTACATCCTCAACCCAGCCAAGAGTTTTTTTTGTTTTGTTTTGTTTTTGTTTTTTTAGTTTTGAAAGCCCTAAACTTTAAGCTGATGTTGGGCATGGTAGCTCACACTGTAATCACAGCAATTTGGGAGATCGAGGTAGGAGGATTGCAAGTTCAAGGCCACCCTGGGCAACTTAGCCAAACCATGTCTCAAAATAAAAATGAAGAGCTGGAGATGTAGCTCAGTGGTAATGCATCCCAAAATTCAATTCCCGGTACTTTAAAAAAAAAACAAGCTAAGGCAACATAAAGGGCTGTAGCTCAGTGGCAGAGCTACACTGAAAGTGTGAGGCACTGGGTTCAATCCTCAGCATCACATAAAAATGAAACAAATGAAAGCATGCTGGCCATCTACAACTATAAAAAAAGAAAATTGAAAGACAACATAAACACCATTTTTCAGGCTTGGACTTCAGGTCTATAACCCACCCACCCACTTCTCCCTGTGTTTTTCTGCGGGTTATCTTTCACTCATGTTCCTTCAAAAGTGACCAACACTTGTCTGCCTCAAAACCCTCCTCCTTTCCAGGTCTGTATTTGTCAGGGAGCTACCTTGAAATCTTGCAGCAGAAGTTTTAGATGAGAAAACATCTATAAATATGGAGCTTTATGTGAATTTAGATTCCCCACTGTCTAGAAGTTGAGATCTGTGTTTGTGATTTGGTAAGATAGGGTCCATGTTACTTCACCCCCAAACATGGGGGAGAGATCAGATGAGAGAGGCTCACAGGCAGCCTGTGGAAAACAGGAGCCGTGTTAGTGATCATATGCATGAATGGGTCACACAGCCCTAGTTGTCACCAAGCCAAATGGAAGCAGCAGCCCTGGTGGCTCTTCAGTCTGTGTGGGATGCGCTGCAGGAGCCCTTGGAAGTGAAGCCAATTGTTTGGTTGGTGGTTTCATTTGGGCTTCTCTCCTGGATCCTCTCAATGGTGCTTTGTGTCCAGTATACTCTAGACTGGCCCTTGTCTGTTGTTAGCCACAGCATAGGGTTAAGATCCCGAAAGTGAGTCCTACCTAGGGTGTGGGAAGCTGATGGAACAACTGGAAGCTTTGTGTGGATAATGCAGTTATTATTTCTCCTGGAACCCTCATATACATTTATACAAGTCTGTTCAGTGCAGATTTAGCTATGAACAGCTTGGCCTTGAGATGCTGGCTCTCAGGATCACAAAGCAGAGCCTCCCGTCTCTCTCTGACCCACCAGCCTGTCTGTGAAGGGTGTTGTTTTCTGTGCAGTGCTATCAACCTGTGCTGACACAGCTACCTGCCTGTCTCTTTTGCTCAGTCCTGGTAGGGCTGCCTCTCCCTGCCGCCACGCTTCTCCACTCTTCTCCAGGAGAGACTCTTGGGGCCCCATTGCTGAAGTGTGGTGTCCCTGTTGCTGATTGGAAGCACTGGGCTCTCCACAGAAGTGATGACAGCCGCCAGCCAGTGGGGAGGGAACATGGGCCAGTGTGAGGCCACTCATCACTCAGGCCAGGGGGAGGGGTGGTTGAGAGCAGGGACAGTCCTATGTCTTTGTGCCCTGAGGTTCTCATCACTAGTAGCGCCTGAGCCATCTCCTATCTTAGGTTCAAAGAAATGAAAAAATGTGTAATAGAGTTTGAGACATTCATCCAAAGTGGGAAGTGTATAATCTCAGGTTTATTGCAATAAACCCATAGCTTTTAGAAAACTCGCAGACTATCTCTACGGATTTTAGAGAGCACAGGGCTTCACTTTAGGAAAGCTTTCCTTTGCACCAGTGTCTGGGGCCATTTGCTTCTTGCCTATTTTCTGTCTAGAGACCAGCCCTTCAAAATCAGTTCTGTAGTTCCTGCATCTCCCCAGCCCTCCTCCTTCACTTCTTCAGTGGAGAATCAGGAAGGAAGGTGCCAGGCAGAAGAACGCTCAGAGCAGCTGCACCTGACTGACCTGCCTCACGGCTGCCGAGGCTCTTGGCTGTCTGCCGCTCACAGATTGTGTCAGATGATGGCTCGGTAGTTTCTGGGCAGCCTGAAACCCAGCACGAGCCCCTCCGATGCTTGGGTTATCTCTGTCTTGAGCATTCCACAGCCATGACAAGTCAGTCCTGGCTCCCACGATGTCCCAGCTAAATTGAGTTACTGTTTCCATGTCCATGTTTGATGTGAATCAGTCCAAACAGAAATGACCAGAGATGCTTAGCTGGTGACCTCATGCTGTGGGAATTGCCAGAGGAACTCTGTTTTCAAACTCCAGTCTGCTCTCAAGTGTGAGGGACTGCTGTGGCCAGAGCCTCCTGCTCTGAACAGAAGGGAATGGAGGCCTTTCTATCCAGGTCTGCTCTTGTGGGTGCAAACGTACTGATCCTGTCAGCGAGGCTTCCACAGGTGTCTCCTGCCACTCCCTTTGCAGTTCCCTTCCCAGGACTTACCAACAAATCTCACAGTTACTGATGCTTTTTGATAAGAGACTATTTCCCCCAAATTGTGGGCTTCATGAGGGCAGAAGTCCCTCCCTTCTCCGCCCCCCCCCCACCGTTTCTCTTTCTTTCTTTTACCTGGTCACTCCTCACATGTGACTGCCTGGTGTGGCATTGCCAGAAGGCACTCTGTGTACTGAAGGAGATGCTGTCTGTCTCTGCTGTCTATCTCTGCTGTCTGGCATGGTCACCACTAGCCACATGTGGAAACTGAGTACTTGAGGAGCGACTTGCACAATTGCATCTTTGTCTTATTTTATCATAATTTATTTAAATTTAAATATCTATTGGTAACTATTGGCCACTAAATTGGACTGTGCTTTTCTATTGCAGGGCTTGTCACATAGGTGTAGAGAAGTAGGCAAGTAGATTTAAAGAAAAGCTATGTTGTTTTTCGGACAGGCAGTGTTCAT